ATGGTAAAAAAAAATATTATAAGATTACAGTAGCTTCTATATATAATTACATTCTTTTGCTTCGTATATACTAGTATAAGTACTTCTATTTTTATTTGGCTCGTATCGAATGTGCGTGACTTATTTGCCAGACGTGAAGCAAACAGTAATCAATAGGGGATTTTTGAGTTATGTCCTTCGCCGGAAAGCTCGTCAATTTATGCGTACTTTTATAACGTCATTTAAAAGATGGAGGGGCATGTCTGTATCCCTGCATTGATAAAGTTCGCCAAGCTTCTAAGCGAAAGTCTTCATGCGGGATAATTTAGAAATTTTTATAAATAGGAACGTAAACACAATTTATAAACGACTGCAGTCCTGATTATCAATTATTAGGATCTAATTTGCCGAATATTTCGTGCAATAGTTATAGCATCATTTGTTTCAACCATTTGCTCATCATTTAATAGAAATGACGATGCCCTTAAAGGAAAGCGACTGACGTTCACTTAAACAATTTTTTGGACGGAATAGCAACGATCTCGAAAATTGAGTTTTAATCTATTATTCGGTTTCGAGCACCACTAATGAGAAATGATTTTTCTAAATATGCGTATGATACTCCAAACTCTATTCAATATCTTTTAATGTTGTGTTATGTTCCCTCGCTATGGTGTCCCTAATCTAGTTGTAACATCTATTCACCTTCCTTTGTTTTTACATGTATTTGTCCTGAAAGTGCACGTAATAGATGTCACTAGACTTTACGCAAACAATTATACATCAAAATTCATTGTATTTGTTTGGATATTTTGGCATCATTGTCGAAAAATGAATTTTTGAAATAGGTACGTGAAAAAATCAAATCTGTAAAGGAGCAAATACAATGTATTTGCATATAAGTTTTAGTTAAAGTTTAGTAAAGTTAAGTGCACATGTAAATACAGGGAGCAATTAATGAATAAAAATAAAAATATTTTCGTTGTTTGAAAAACTTTTATAATATAAAAATTACACATTGTTTCAACCCAATCAAAATATATAGATCCCTGACTCGGCTATACTCATAAGACGAATAAGAGATTGATAACAGATCTGAATTATTATCAGATTTCACAGTGTTTTATTTTAAATCTTTCATTTCTTTAAGATGGTGACTCAAACATGTCAAATGTGTGTCTTCTGAGGCTAAAACTAAACAAATAATTAAAACAATGCCGCCAATCATAGTAATATGAAGTAATATAAACCTTTGTTGAATATTAACATGAAATTCCAAAGTATCCAAACAAAATAGGTTTCATTTTTTACACAAAAAATGACAAACACAAATAAACTTATAATGCAGTTGCTCTATTCAGGATTACGGGTTTTTATCATCTTGATATGTTTATCATTTTAAGGCTGAAACAAAATCTTAAATTCTGATTAAAAACGTTCAGTAGGAAACCTAGAGACCGAGAATAAAAGAAAAATAACCATTTTTATGCAAAAGTCGAGAAAATCAATAATAAAACAATGCTGGTGACGATACTGATCAAAAGTTATTTCTAAACAACAATCGCACATTTTAAAGAAACTATTTGATAAAACTGTGTTATAAGCAATATGCATGCAAATACACGATATTTTATGTTCAGTATTTCTTGAGTTGATTGCATTAGAAGCTCGTGAAACTGAAATCTGAATGTTAATCTTTGCTGCATATTGATAAAAAAATTGGAAAACATCATGTACAAACAAAATTTAAAGACCTGTCAGGTCACCAATTTTCGAAGTGTTGCACAAAGCCCTTAATTAGCAAGTTACAATTTCCCAAAATATGCTTATTTTTCGCATCTAAGTTCTCGAGTACACCGGCCTGCTCTTGTCACGTGAACATTATTCAATATAAAAATATTGTCTTTTCATGAATATTACAATTTAAAAGTCTGTCTGTGCAGGTTAAGAAATTAAAGATGAATATTTTTTAAAGTGGGTATCTTTTTACTATTTTTTATACCATTTTAAGAAAAGGTGACTGGTTGTCTTGATTTTTGTTTATCACGGTATTTCCGGTCTTCTCGATCTATTCACATTCAATGTTTACATTAGTCGCGTTACTCTAGAGTTCTCGTTCTTAATGTTAATAATATGGATATGGAGTGTCTGGATGATCGAAACTATGTTTACATCAGGATAAGGTCCATTTGAATTTGCTAAGTAACTTTATTTCCAAAATTGTTTATATTTGCGGCATATCAATCGATTCCTTTGGAATTTCCCCCTTGCACCTCTCTGATCTAGCTGCATATATATACGGATAATTGGCATGTTTCAGATCGGTTTATAGCTAGTGGAAAAAAAATGTTAGTTGATACTCCAGGAATTAATTCGCTTAACAACATTTTAAACAAATTTTACATCAAGGTCCTATAGCCTGCTGTACTCGTCGTTTTCTATTTAAGGACGGACATAATAAGTTAAAAATAAATTTGTTTATTATTTTAACTTATTTTTATTTTTAATATTTACCAAAACGTTTTCTCGTGAATTCATTATTGATAGCGTCCTTGCTAAAACGGGATAACCATTGAAAAGATAGTTTTTGGTGTTCAGAGGGGAGGTAGTATTTTTGGTGCTTTGCTTTTGCGCCAATTGGCTTTTCATTTGCGCAAAAATAATATTTCATTTGCGCCACAAACTATATTTAATTTGCGCAAACATAAAACATTTCATTTGTGCCAAAAATACAGGTAAATACAGGTAAATAGTATAAAAAATCGTTTTATTCAAAAGAGACTTTTAATAATAGCTTTAAAAAACGCAGTATTTGATTGCATACTATTAAAACATATTCCTCTGAAATCAGTCATCGTAACCATAATGAAAGCACTATATACTGCTACGTACTAATGAGAAACTTTCCATAATAATGTTAAAACACAGTTCTGATATAAATTAACGAGATCATTAAACCTAAAAGAAAGCACTATATACTGGGGTGAAACCAAAAGTTTGTTCTGGCACAAGACTTGTAAGCAACGGCTGGTATGTACTTATGTACACTGGATATCGTATATGTGTGGTCATACCAAATTACAGACTTATTTCCTCTATATAAAAATTAGGAGATGTGGTATGATTGCCAAGAGACAACTATCCACCAAAGTTCAAATGAAGTGGATGAAAGCAATTATAGACAACCGTACGGCCTTCAAAAATGAGAAAAACCCATACCGTGTAGTCGACTATAAACAGCCCGACACGAAAAATATGAAATAATCAAATTGAGAAAAACCAACGACCTGTTTGTCTCAGATTGACAATGTCCATATTGACACCTCAAACATGTGTACACTATATAATATTAAAATCTAAGTGACTCTCAGTTTTATATTAGAAATGAGTATGAACTTACGTAGTTACCTAGGGGGAATACTCTAAAAAAAATCCTTATTCACGAAGAAGCAATAAATATTTTAAACTTTTCCATTATATGTTAACTGTAAAATGGAGCAAATGTAGTTTTTATTTTTTGGCGCAAATGAAATACAACCTTGTGGCGCAAATGAAAGATTGGATTTTGTAAAAATTGGCGCAAATGCAATGCGCCCAGTATTTTGTCACTAGATTTCACCCTGGTTCTCTGTTCTTATTCATGCCGTTACGGTACAATAAAATTATCAATACTGTAACAATACTCTACGTTTGTCTCCAAAATCTAATAAAATACAAGGTACAGACAACAAAATGCAAAAAGAATAAAGATAAAACATAACCTAAAAGGATTTTTTAAAGCGTCGATTGGGAAATTGTTTCGGACGATTTTATGCTTACAATCATTCAAATCGTGAGAAACATGAAATTATTTATTTTTTAGCGACCAAAAGGAGGGCGTACGTCGTTCTAATTTTCATATTTGCACACAACTAAAATTCCTGCATTTTGTGGAGAAAAATATTACTCCTCTACACCCCTGTTTCCGTCCGAAAAAACAAACCAAAACAAATAGCCTTCCCCTTATAAAGAATGAACAAAATTTAATCAGGTTCATCATTTCCTGAACTTTATTATATGTATTTTTTTCTCTTTGGCATTACGCTTAAGGGGCCTCGATGGCCAAGTGGTCTAAGTAGTTGTACTGTACTACTGTATTACTATCCAGTCAATACTGAGGTTGTGAGTTTGATTCCCGTACGTGGCAGGTCCGATCGACTCCAATTTTAATTGCCAAGGATTGTCAGTTTTCCTATCGAAGGTCGATGGTTCTCTCCGGGCGCTCCGGCTTCCTCCACCAATAAAAAATGACCGCCACGAAATATCACAATAGTGTTAAAAGTGGCGTTTTACACCGATCACGGGGTGCTTATTTCCCAAATCCCGCTTTTTTTCTTTCTCACATTTCAAAAACGTATGTAAGCATGACTGGAAACAAGTTTTACTATTTACGCTACGTAATAGAAGAATTTTCTTGCAACGCAACGGCAGCCATTCTTTTTTTTAGTATACGAGTTGTTTACTACCTAGATTTATCTCTTTTTAATCGATTTACGAGATTTAAATATCCACTAATTACTGTCGCAGTACTTTTCCATCTAGTTAAGATATTTAACATTATATATTATACCTCAGTATGTATTTTCTAATTATTATATTACAGACGAATAAATCTACTAATTTTTCGGAATGTCCAAAAAAGACTATTGACTAGGAATTTTACGACATCCGCTTCAAATTAAAAAATGATGGTTTACCCGAAATATTTCATTTGGAACAGTTGTGAAAGTTGCAGTATAAAGAGAATAACCATAAATTTGTCTCGAAATATATACCAGTTTCTTTCGGACAATAGCAAGTTTATTGTCCCCCTCGATATCAACTATTTCCCTTCACTTCACGTCGGGGTATAGTTAGTGTCTCGGAGGAACAATAAACTTGCTTTGTCCTCATAGCAAGTAACTAAGTGTGATATTTCATCCAACAATTAAACATGTTAAAGGACAATAACCATATAAGTTAAATATTTTGTTTATATTTAGACCATAGCTACCAAATTGAGAACATCTACAGGTAAATACACGTTTAAGCATGAAGATCGTGTTTTGTCTACTTTAGGAAATGTTATGCTCAATATCAGTGAGATTATAACATATGCTTTATGGTAAGTATTTGATTATAAAATGCTTTAGCTTTCAAGGTTTTCAACATCCGTTATAGTTTTGAACGTAACATATTACTCCAAATCACCTTACGGTAGTTCTTGTAAAAGGGAAAATAACTGAGTTAATTCAGCGTTTAGCTAACATCTTTATTGAAAATATCAGATTACTTTTCATTTTGTTTTCATTCATACTTATGTTCACGAAAGGTTAAAAAACTACAGTTTTGTTACTTAAAATGGTTTATTAATGATATCGTTTTGTTTTGATTTGTGATTTCAAATTCAAATTATATTTACTGGAGGTCTAAATGGACTTAATTAACTGGTCCATAGAGAGTGTCTCCTGTTTACGTTTATATATATAAGCATTAATACATTGTAGTTTCTATGTAACTTAATAAAAATGTTCCCATCGTCCTACGTAGTTGAGAAATATATAAGAATGATCAAATGGAACCAAAACCGAAAGCAAAAAAGAGTTACAACCCAATTTCCAAAACATCAAAAGTAAATATATATCATTTAAAAAAATCGAGAGAAAAAACGGAAGATACCAAAGTAACAATCAGAATGCATAAGCATAAGCATTAGAAAGACCGACAAAAAACCGACAGCACATGAAAAAGAAAGAAAAGACAAATAACAGTCAACAAAACACTACATAGAAAACGTAAGACTGAGCAACACGAAACTTACTAAAAACAGGGGTGATATCAGGTGCCCTGGAAGGGTAGGCAAGATATCGTAGTCATATGGAGATAGCCACTGAATATGCAGAAACTGCAGGAATTGGTACTGAATGTTGAAAATTCACTACGGGAGATTATAGCGTCATTTTTGTGGTAAAGTAATTTCAACCTAATGGCTGTACATGTACATTTATGTTTGACATTCATATACAATATATGTACATTGTCGGAAAATATAAAATTTATTTGTATGAGCTTTAGAAACAGGACGAAAAGCGAGGATCGCCGAGTTTTTCTCCTGTCTCGCAGCGAGTACAAATAAATTTCATATTTTCCGACAATGTACATATATTGTTTTTATCCTGAAATTTACGCCCAACACTTGAAAATTTAGTTATTAAAACCAAATGATTGTCTCTAATCTCTCAAAGAAATCTACATGGTTTAAACGTTGTCCGCAAAGAGGACCCCAAAATGAACTGGTACGGAAAAAGAAATATCCATATTACCGCTTGCTCAACTTGGAAGTGGGGTAAAAGGAGACTTTACTTGTATAAGTACAAATAAAGCAAAAATTTATTTGTATACTTGTTATTTGTACAATAGTTTGCTCATTGCAGGATAAAAGATATGAAGTAGACCTGTTTGTATCTGTGGCATCCTTTATTTTTGGTTCAATATGATGAATTTAGTCAACATGTTTTGCAAAAGTTGGCTGGGTTCGTGTTACTCAGTCTTTAGTTTTGTATGCTGTGTTTTGTATACTGTTATTTGTCTTCTTATCGATTTTCTTTTCGTTGTCAAATCATCGTCAGTTAGTTGTCGACTTATGTGTTAGACTATCCCTTTGGTATAATTCGACCCCTTTGAAATAAGGTTGAAGCAAATGATCAAATCACAGATGTATCTTTCCTTCTTTATTGTAATAATAGACACGATTAAACATTTTATATTATCGATAATAACCTTCTTTACTAAATTGGTCTTTTGACATACATGTACTCCCACAAATTCAAATGCTTGAGTTGATTTTAAATAGTAATTCTATACGTTACTCGTGTGAATTGGTTTTAAATAATTTATAGCATATTTAAAAGTTTAAATTTGGAGTCACACAATTTGGTTGTTTTTTCATGATCAAAATTTAAAATCTAAGTGTCATTGTAAATCACACATTTAAATTTGAATTTGATTAAACCACTTAGATTAATTAACATGTCCTGTACTGCAAAATACAATAACAAACCCTGTACATATATAAAGATATATATCGCGGCAGAATCTTTTTCTTTATATAAATGTCTTGCAATTAAATATTCCTCTGACTGTAATCAGTCTCTAAAAGACTTCCTGAATTCAACTAGTGTTACACTGCTGTCAAAGTTAAGAGTTGGTGTTGAGCACTCACAAACATGTTTAACGCCGCCACATTAGTCAGAAGTTGTTAATTCAGTGGTTGTCGTTGATTTATGTTTGTCATATTTGTATTTTGTATATTGTATTGTTATTTATGGTATATGCATTGAACCACAAATTCAGGCCCGGTCAGAAAAAACAGTAGTAAATATTTTAAACAAAATAGTTCCTTTGCATAACTGTTTCTTTGCCCATAATCAAAATATTTACTAGGTAATATTGGTTTCAAATGAAAGCTTAAGGACTTGGGATCACTGTAGAACCCTTTTGGAAAATTTCTCATGAATTAAATATAGAAGTGCATATTTGCCCTGTTGCTCGGATAAGAAGTACTTGTTCTTGTACTATCGAACTTCCTGGAACCAATGCGCTCTTATATGCAATTAAAGGTATGTTGATTTTTTTAGCACAAGTCAGTTTAAGGTACAGTTTTGATATGAAATGACTGCCACTTTATTTGAACTTAATAAAGAATAGTTATAACTGCTTTAAACTGTAATATCTAACTTAGAAAGCAATGGGGCTATGAAATATGCCCACCAATGTTAGATCTGCAAATTTGCGTTAGCAAACTGTTGTTCTCCCCTCGGCAGAATTCAAACTCCTGCATCTGAGACATCGAGGCAACACTGCCTGCACTGTGTACAGCGCGCTAAACCACTCGACCAACTAGGCTTTATAAAAATAAAGCGTTTGTTAGTCGAGTAATGTCTTTCTTAGTCGGCTGTATCTAGGACTGTAACACATTATTTGGCTCCGCTCGCTCAGTCATGGTCTATTGACTTTGAATGTTTTTCATAGTTTACATGTTTAAAAAACTTGTGATTAGATCAGTTTTTGATAACACACTTATGTTAAGTCAATGATAGTTGGTATGCGGATGTATAAGCATTTACCAACATCATAATATATTAACTTGGAAACTTTTGCAAAGTTCTGATTGGGTCCCATTAATGATGTATTCTTCTGACGTTTCAGTCTCATTAAAATTTCGTCTAGAATTATTTCCAAAACATGTGATACAAGTGGAAAATATCAATGAATTCAAAAAATGTTTTAATCAAACTTAACTCTGTGAAAAAAATTGTGTAGATATAATAAGTAGTTTTTGAGTAATAATTTTTTTCAAATTATATAACCAATCAAGTCAGTATTTTTAGCCAAAATTTTGAGAAAATGGGTGAGGATTACAAGAAATGATTTTAGCAGAAAAATGTACATCCCATATCACTTTTTTCTTTTCAAATTTTTCAGATATGTATTTTTTCAATCATTTATAACAAAGAAGTTGAAATAATGTACATTTTGTTCTTAAAATAGAGAAAAATCACAAATTTACAAAATTGACAGCAATGGTAAATTTGACACAAAAAACATCAAAATATGATAAAACTTTCTTATATGAACACCGACCTATAGTTTTTTTAAGTTAAATTTATTCAGATTGGTCCACTTCATCATTATTGAAAGTATGAATAAAGGTTAATTGTGGAACTGTAATTTTTTTTCACGATAATAGCCCAAAAATGGATAAAAATTGATGAAAAATAAAAAAATCATCAAAATTGGGTACTTTCAAAGGGCCGTAGCAAAAAAAAGAAGTGGACCACCATATGATTTTTCTTCACCAATTATTTTTTTACAGTCATATAAAACCAAAAATCAGGTTAAGAAAAAAAGTTTTATTCTAGAAATTTTTGGCTCCTCAGAGGTGTACAAATGTACATCCTTAATATATCCGCCTGAAATAGAGATTGATGAAACCATAGATACAGCTTCCTCCACCTCATTTCTAGACATATACCTCGAATTTGACTGCAGCGGTCATCTCAGTACCAGAATCTATGACAAACGAGACGATTTCAATTTTGAAATTATGAATTGTTCTCACCTTAGTAACACAATACCAACTTCACCCCTGTATGGAGTATACATTTCTCAACTCATTTAATATTCAAGAGCTTGCAGCTCATACTCATACTTTGTAAAACGTCATCGAAGTCTGATAAAAAAAATTAATGAGCCAGTGTTTTGTCAAATAATGTCCCGTCCTTTTGACAAAAAGTTCAACGGAAATTACCATGACCTAATAAATAAATATTCAATGCCTACTTCAAAATAATATAAGATGATCTTGAGTTATAAATTCTAGATGTTGAAGCTGTGTATCTTTTTCTTAATTTACAGTTTTCCCCTTTATTTTGTCTCAGTGCTGTTTTTTTCCTTTGGTCCAGAAAGTGTATATTATATACTGTATTTTCTATCTACTACAAACACTTTTTTTGTTTGTTGTCTTTGATTGATTCTTTTTTGCATGTCTGTTTAAATTTTTAGTCAGTTGTGTTGTATGTCTGTGATGTATGTTGACATTTTTTTGGCAGCTTGATCCCAATTATTTCCACATTAACCTGTTATGTCTGTTATGCTCATCCAATTTTGTTAATATAACGGAAGTGCGACCATAGTAACTGTCATACAAGTGGAAGGTTTAGTTGGCTATAAAACCAGGTTTAACCAGCAATGTTTTCATTGGAAAAATGCATGTACCAAGTCAGGAAAATGACAGTTGTTTTCCTTTTGTTCCGTTGGTTAATAAGTCTAAAGTTTAATTTTGTCAGTTTTTATAGAATAGACCTTTGAGGTCGGTATTTTCGCTAATACTTTTTTGTTAACATCTTGAGAGTAAATTATGTAAACTCTGTATTATTCAAATTGTAATAATCTCAAGCAACCGTCCGATTTTGACCTTACTATTGAAACAAAGACAGGGGAAGTTGTCACTTCCTAAAACAAAAACCGCTTTTTTAAATATAGCTTCCTATAAAATAGGTTCCTCTAATCATATTTCAATATTTTTGAACTATTATTATTGATCTTTCTAGGTTAATAGCGTCGATGATTTAACGAGTTTCAAATATTTCTATTTTTAACTTGATTGCAATGATACCGCCTAATTCTTACTGGATGAACCTAATCGGAAATCATAATTTTCCCTGGAAACTGCTTCACCATGTTAACTCCTCTATACCAGACTTGACATAAAGAATTCGTGAGGCTTCAGTTTAAGTAAAATTCTTTATCATGTTCTGAAAAATAGGTCTGAAAAATAGCAGATGTAACCTTGTGGGGCTCGATTTGAGACGAAGTATGTATAAATTGTAATGTTAGCCCTGTTTAAACCATTTGCGTGACGACAGCCTATTCATTTACCGTGGATTCTTTTTCTAGAATCAACGCTTCCTAACTCTGTCGCTGAAATGGACTCACCAAACAATATTCAATTGTTTCAATTGTGTGCCTAATTTCATTAAGTTTGAATTGAATTTACTGATTTCTGTTCACTCATGGAATAAATTAAAAAACTTACCTTTCATTTTTGTTACTTTTATATGCCTTCACTGGGAATCGAACCCGTGACTGACATCAACATAACGACGAAACCTGTCGGCTACAAATCGGTTACAATTTAAATGTCTATTTTATATATTTAAATGAACATATGATATACATCGGAACAACGGACACAGAGAGCTTGTACCTTTATATATACATAATAGGCAATCCTATAGTATAAGTTGGTAGCCGCGAGGTTAGCATGGTTAAGATCAATGAGTTAAAGGTAGGGACTTGTCGGTTTAGGTTCGAATCCCTGTATTCTCTTTTTTGTCCCTATTCCTTAGTTTTCCTGTTGTTTTTGTTTTTTGTTTTCTTGTTTTGTATGTTATTGTGGATATTTTTGTTAAATATTGAGTTTTACCGTTTATTTTTGAACTATTATGGACTATTTCACATATTTGAAACGAAAATGATTACATTCTATTTGTCCATTTTTGTTTTATAAATATAGTATGATTTCATCTGTTTTGCTACATAATTTTACAAATGTTTATTCGCAAATTCCTATGCGAGAAAATCGTGATTTGCCTAGAATTAGGCTTCTTGCTGGAAATGTCGGTAACATACCTATTATATATACTGTATATATGCTCTTTGGTCAGGTTGTTGTCTCTTTGACACATTCCCCGTTTCAATTCTCAATCTTATTAGAAATAAGTTCGAATATGTCTTATTTTGTAAAAACCGATAATATTAAGATGCCTGATAATATAAAGATCTTTGAAGGCAGACGTGTTGTGTTATGTTTGAATTTTTTTAACCAATTAATTATGATCTTAGATTTATTAATGCATCGTTGGACACGATAACATGGTTATCTAAATTCACTTACAACATGTGACAATACCTTCTAATTAAGAAAAGGCTTTAATTTTGAAAGACATTAACACAATAGTTTAAGTTATAGATACAATGGATAAGTGTTGATTCATAAAAAACAAACCGTTCGCCCTCCGGGCTCATGGTTTCTTTTTCAAGAATCAACGCTTATCTATTGTATCTATATAACATAACACACGATTACTCGATGGAGAACATATTTAGACGTATATAATACAGTGTTCTTAGTATGACTGCATGATAAGCAGTATTATCCTTTACGACTGACAAAAAAACAAATGATCTGCAAGGCATGCCACTTATATGAACGTGCGCCAACACACAACGCACTGTGTTACCACCCGTCATAGCCGGAGGATCGATGAAAGGAATACTATACTAACGAAAGGTACACTTTCATATAGCAAGGTTCACCGAGTGGGTTAGTGTGCTTGTCATTATGCAAACGATGTTTTCACGATGCCACAGACGTTAGAGTTTGAATCCCGATGTGAGAAAAACAAAATTTTGCTAATCTTGTTGTGTTTAATTTGATTTGAGTCGAAGTTTGTATAATGTGTGTTGTTAGCCCTGTGTAACATATGATTATCCGATTGAAATCGTCTGTAGTAAATTGTCAACATAATAAGATGCCCGAGATCAACCCCAACTTTTGGTGGTTGTTCGTGTTGATCAGTATGTAGTGTTTCGTGAAATTATTGGTCTTTTCACTGTCCTACCTTTTTTGCCATGACGTACTCAGGTTCTCTCGTCTTATGAGTTTTGAATGTCTTCTTGGTTTCTCCCTCATGTTTTTTTTTAAATTTGTAATAAACAGAAAGATATTATTTAAATGGAATAGAGATTTTGGGTAAAAGGTTATTTTAATTGTAATCATCAGACCATAATATAATTGCAAGTTCAACGATACACTCGGGCTATCTAAAAGCCAGCATTTTATTTTTTTCTGTGCTAGATATTTTTGTATACCGTCGGACTTTGAAAACGCATCACTAGATTATTCTTATTGATTTCCATTTTCAAACATGCAATACTTGTAAAATAAATATATATCAACATTAATTTCATTCATTACTTCATTGTCTAAATAAAGTTTGCAGTTTCAAAGTTAAATTGATTACGTCATGTTTTATGTTCAAATCTGGTATGCACTGAAGCCCTGTTGTTCTCCTCGTTATTGTACGTGTTACCGTCGAAGACAGTGACTGCTTGTAACCAACGCCTAAACGACTGACAGAAAAGTGAAACAGTTCTCTTGTACATTTTTTGAATTTGGTTTTGTCCATTTGTATTTAACAATAATGCGGTTTAAACTACAGGCCTTACATGGTTTTTTTTTCTGCAGTCGATTCGATATAACTTCAGTACATTGGAAACATGTATGGGGTGAATCTGTCTGCCATGACATCCGAAAACTATGTTGACAGTTGACGTTATGGTCGTAAACCTGTCTTGCAAATGACACCGCGTAATGAAATTTTATTGACCTGGCGTTGTCACTACAAGTTTATCTGGTCATGGGTGGTCATTAACAAATCCCGTCTGTCTGTTCTGGTGTTGTAAGGACTGCAAGAGAACATTCTGACGTGAAATGTTCTAGCAACAGCACGTTGAGATATTCCTTCGTGCAAAATTCTTATGACCTGATTCATATTTTCATTGCTTATTCTCGGCAATTGGGAATGCAGTATTAACTGATTTAGATGGGGTATATCAATTACCTCAGGTAAGTCGGGTTTTGAATTTTTGGGCGATATCTCTTTGCGCCAAATATGAATTCATTTGCACCACAACTTATTTGCGCCAATGCTTCTTCTGCGCCACTTCATTTTGAAAACTATAAGTTTCATTTGGACCACAAAAAAAAAAAAAAAAAAAAAAAAAAAGCAATCACATGCCTGACGGAATTTGGAATTTCTACAACGATGATAGGTTTCCCTCAAGCAAACTCTATTTTCTTGAACAATATACCAGACATCGTTACATGTGAAAAAACTATTTTATTACTGAACAATTTATCTATTGGTGAATTTTCTTAATTTTATTGAGTGTTCTGTATAATCTAAAGTCGATAGCCTAATCATAGTACATGTTACATCAAGGATTTGTATATCTTACTATATATGTGCATATATCGTTAATCAGATGGTAGAAATACAAAAAAAAAAAGACGTATTGAAACCTATGCCTTTAATAATTAAATTTTGTTGTTGTTGCAGGAAAGAAGTTATCCATTGATACAGATGTTAAATGAATGATTGAGATATAATGTTGGATATACATGTACAATTTCCCGAACTAATCATTTCTGTATCATTGCATCACCATGAGTATTAGAGATTCCGTTTGTGTAATAGGTGGCGTTTTGCTAGGAGGTGGAATTTGTTATAAATTATTCATGTCAGGTAGGCATACTATAACTTAATGCAAGTTATGTTACTAGTGAGATGTGTATAGATGGTCATCATGTGCAAATTGACATGTTTATTGTTCAAATGACTTAGAATGCCCCCCCCCCCCCCTTTTTAGTTTGTGTTGCTATAGTTTTTATGTTGTGTTTTGTGATTGTCAGTTGATTTTCGACAAAGGAGTTTGAATATCTCTTTGGTATCTTTCGCCTCCTTTTTTTCCAAATACAGCTAAGGTAATCTATTCATATATTAGACTCTTCGAAGTATAATGCAGAAAAGTGTGAATTGAAATATTTTATCTGAAAATTATATTTCAGAAGGCCCACAACCGGTGCCAATGCCGCCAGATTTACCACTGGGACCAACTCCTCCAGATCCACAACCGGTGTTAACGCCTCCAGATCAATGTGAGTGCAATGTCGCCTTGTTCAGGGGCGTTTCCAGGATATTTGAAAGAGGGGGCGTAGAATACAATCTTTTGCCGAGCGGAGCGAGGCTAAAATTTTTTTAGACCTTTTTTTGGCTAAAAAACATAAAATAAATGTGAAATGCACTAATGTAACGGTTCCTGACTTGGAGCATGTATTTTTATAGTTAAAGTGTCAGGGTTGGATATTTTTTCTTCCGAATTCTCTCCATTAATTGTCTATGGTATATTAAAATGATTGGATGGATCTTAACAGCAGTAGACCAATAACGAGAAATTCCAAATTTTAGGGTATAGGGCGTTACTTTACATTTCAAAGTCCTAGGCGAGGATTTTATGAACGGGAGGCGTAATTCCGGTTGCCCTGGAATAGGGTCCATGGGGAAGGTCAGAAGCTCCTAGATTTCAACAATTTAGCATCAAATTATGAAGTATTATAACAGACTCCATGATAGACAAATTGGTGAAAATAGTCTGCCTTCAGATCATTCAAATTATGTATTGATTAACATGTGGATATCAAATCTTTGGAAGAAGTTGTAAATTCAGTTAAAAGGTTATATGAAATGGGCATGAAAAATGAAAAATAAATCTTTAACGATAGCCTTTTCTGAACTTTTGATATACCCGTTTTGTTAAAATATACCTTTTCACTGTTTTGGTCTTTTGGAAAATGTTGTTTGTGCTGTATTTAGACCCCTTTACCAAGAAATTTGTTTCGCATGCACACGTATAAAAATTGCGGTTTTTATCCAACGCAATCATAGGTTTGAACGTTGTTTTCAATTTAGTAGATATAAAAAGATGTGGTATGAGTGCCAATGAGACAACTCTCCATCCAAGTCATAATTTTATAAAAGTAAACCATTATAGGTCAAAGTACGGTCTTCAACACGGAGCCTTGGCTCACACCGAACAGCAAGCTATAAAGGGCCCCAAAAATTACTAGTGTAAAACCATTCAAACGGGAAAACCAACGGTCTAATCTATATAAGAAACGAGAAACACTTATGAACCACATCAACAAACGACAACTACTGAACATCAGATTCCTGACTTAGGACAGGTGCAAACAGTTGCAGCGGGTTTAAACGTTTTGATGGTACCAAACATTCACCCTTATCTGAAACAATAGTGTAACATTGTATTTATAATTATGATACCCCGTTCTAGATAGTCAAATCAGACCCCTTCCAATGCAAGGCGAAAAAAACCTAATCCCATTTCAGACAATTTAGCTGAAAATGCAACCCCGTTTGTCGGAACATACCCGGTATCATATATATAGCGAGTATCCCCCGGGTAGATGTAGAATGGCCATTGGGGAAGTGTCACACAAAACAACCATTTCATGTATAGATTTACTTACCGCTTTGGTTGTTTAAAAAAGGTGTCCAAGTCACCTATCGGATGGGGGAATCAGTATAAAAAGAAATCAGAGTATGTGTTTAATTAATGAATATGATAAATTGCAATATTCAATACAATATAAGCAGATAACGATAGTTTTTTTTTTTTTTTTTTTTTTTTTTTTTTACGCCCATTACGACCTTACCTGGACCCGCCCCTGTTGTTCCTTTTCTGTTTAGATTACTATTCAGTTTATGTTAAACGGAAATTATTTTGAATTATTTTGATACTATGTTATGTACTTAAAATATGTAATTGTCAAGCCATATTCCTTTTGAATTATTAGACTTGAATTCAAAGATTGAGGTAATAAATTTAAGTATTGCATCTATTTGTGGAGAAGAGAAAATAATGTAGTAACAATTGGAAAATTATTTCTCTAATTTTTGTGCTATTTTTACATTTCTTGATCGGTGTGAGAAAAATATTTCTCCTCACTAGTGAAATATCTGTTCTTGGCAAATGATTGGTCAAAATTTAATCATGACGTCAAATTTTCTTTGTTTCTTTTGAATTTCCTATTGTGACGTCATGAAAAAAGGTGACTATGTCTGATGACGTCAAATATTAAGAACACAACTTTCTGCAAACCTTTGAAAAGGAAGGATAAAAATCATTAGAGAAACAGATTCCACCACTATAACTCGTGTATTACGATATTTCCCCACTCTAAACAGTTAAATTTTAATTATTAAAATTTAACTGTCTCGAGTGGAGAAATATCGTAACATACATGTTGCAGTGTTGGAATCTATATTTAACAGTCTGTATATTACGTTGAGTCTTCCAATGGCAATGGTAGTATTTTTGCACCCTAGAGATATTGACTGCTTTTTTTAGAATGTAACCCCGTTCTAACACTGTCTCAGAACATACACGTACAGTTAGTCGAAGTACTGTCATTTTAATACAAATGTATTGAGAAATATATGCGAATACGTATCAAGACTGCTATCTTTATAAACTTTAGGCCACAAGTGCTTTGTCGCCTTTAGTATACAAAATTTTAAGAAATCATTTTTCATCTGTATGTAAAATACTTTACATTTTTCTACACCTGAATCATCCCTCAACTCAGAAAAATATCTTCAGTAGATGTTTTTTTTGGGGTTTTTTTTGTACAATAACAGAGTTTAGATGTATTGACCTAAGAGCTTCCTAGTTCCCGGAAAGTAACTACAAACGTTACACACTGATATTGCTGAGCGAACTTTCATTAAAACATTTTTGAGCTTATGAAGATAAAACTAATTGCTAATTGATGATAACAGTGCATGCTATTTTGAATAGACATTTTCGAAAATCCGTCTTCACAGACACTTACTGCGACGCCGATTACTACAATGACGAAAAAAAATAGAGGGACTGAATCAAAATGTCGAAACATACCGAGTGAATGACCTCGTAAAACCTGGTTGCCGAGATAAAACATATATTCTGTATTTTTTCTTAATATATTAATTTTTATTCGGATTCGGAGAAAGAAACTACGGAAGCGTAATAGCGCCACATAATTTTTATCTTATATTTCTTCCTATGTTTGCGTTATAACGCAAACATTTTTATTTCAATTATTCATTAAGTTTGAATAATCACAAACTGTTATATTAAATTTACATTTTATGTTTAGTATAGAATTTGAAAGCAGTGTTTTGTAAATATCGGCATTTGCATGTCCGTCTGCCAGTAAAATTTGGTTGTGATTTAGTTAAGAGAAGGACTATGAACACAAGACAAAATCGTAATAATAAATATACATAGGAATAAGGGAATACTTGTATCACAATTATACACAAAAGAGGGACGAAAGATACCAGAAGGACAGTCAAACTCATAGATCGAAAACAAACTGACAACGCCATGGCCAAAAATAAAAAGACAAACAGACAAATAATAGTACAGATGACAGAACATAGAAATTTAAAGACTAAGCAACACGAACCCCATCAAAAACTGGGGGTGATCTCAGGTGCTCCGGAAGTGTAAGCAGATCCTGCTCCACATGTGGCACCCATCGTGTTGCTTATGTTATTACAAATCCAAATCCGGTAAATAGTCTAATTCGGTAGGTCACATTCGTGAAAAGAGAAGGGTATTGTAGTTACGACATAAGGAACATATCCGATATCATCTGTGAAACGGTTATTCCATAACGGTCAACCAACTCGTGATGGCGTCCGTAAAATTTACGAAGAGATGATTTCAACTTCACCATTTGGAACTCTTGGTTTATTAGCTTCCTTGTGAGCAGCAGTCCTCTATCAAGGAAATCATGATAGGAAATACAAGCCCGGGAATATCGTATTAATTGGGATATATATACTCAAATTATGGAAGATTTTTGTATCAGAAAACCTATATAAATCTAACGTGAAAATAAATATGGTATAGAAAATTTTTAATTGAAAGGCCATGGTTTTGATAATTTTGATTTACGGGAAGTGGCAAAGTAGAGAAGAGCAACAAAATTTCATACTATTGTGAAAATATCAAGTCAAATAGACAAAAGATCTTTCGGCTTTAATGTGTAATACCACAAAATCATACTACGTCACATCCCGTTGCATACGAAAAAGGGTCGAAAAAAAATATTCCCTTGAATTTGACAGTTGAAGGAAATAAATCCTACATTTCATTGCAGTTAAAAAATTCTGAGTCACAAACATATATCTGGGGTATTTCAAAATAACATTATTTTTTTATTTGGTGTTTCTATAGAATATTTTGGAAACTTGAGGATACATGGTTACTAAAGCTTGTACATAGGAAAAAAGGGGTGAAAATTTGATTGGTTAACTTCCAGTGATGGTTATTTTCTTTTTATATGCAATGAAATGTCATGTGAAATTTTGTCTATAGTACTGAACAGGATAAAACTTTACTCATGCCAAGAATTTCTTTATTTGAAACAAAGATAAACTCTGCACAATTTTTTGAAAAGTGCAAATTTAACATAGCCTAATAGGGGAAATCAATGGTGGTATTACACATTAAAATGAATTATTTTGAAGAAAAAAACATTGAGTTTTGATGTAAGAAATCGTTTGTTGAAATCTCATTATATGATAAAGATTCTTTAATAAAAAATCATGAGGTTTTAAATTTCAATCTAGTGATGTAGCTATTTCAGATGATTGGGTAGCAATTTGAATGTACATGTAGAGTACATAATTAGAATAATAGAAAATCTTCATCTTATACATTTATTTCAATATGGTGGCTTGTATAGATCTAACCAATCTTACACAATGTTCAAAAGAGCGCTTACTTTGGTTGGAAGTATATTTCATTCGGCTACATTAACAGGGTTGATTTTTTTTATTGTCTTCGGTATAACTTCAATCTACTCAATTTTCTTTGTTATGTATATATACGTGTATTCTCCTCCGCATTATTATGCCATGATATGTGCACACACTCAAGCATTTTACTTTGCAATACGTAAAAGGGGTGATAAATTTTAATACATGCAGCTTCCTCCATTTATAACATCTGATTCCCTTAAAACTTAAATACGAAATAAAATAAAACAAAGGTTATTTTGAAACTGTTTGCGTTTTAACGCAAAGATCTGCGTTATTTCGCAAAGGTTTGCGTTATAACGCTAACATAGGACGAAATATTGAAATAAAAAAGAAATTGTGTGGCGCTAAAACGCTTCCGTAAGAAACACCAAATGCTCTCATAAGTTTTTGACTATCTTAAGTATTAATGAATTTGTGTAATTCCATATTTTTTAAATGTGTCTGTTTGCAACCATTCAAACGGAATATGTGTTCCGGTAGTGTATACAATTGGCGAATTGAATTGCTAGAAAGCATTCGAAACATTGTGGGGACACCCAATGAATAGATTATCTGCCTTTAGTGGTATCTGTGCAGGCTTAGTTTATCGTTGACGTCAGTTGTTCTCCTAAATAAAGTATCTTATTTCTTATGAAGCAATCCTATATCAATTTTGTGTAAATCAACAGATCTTTGGATTTGTGATGGACGTTTCGGTGACTCAAATAGAAAATAGGTATTTCAAAATAAAATTCTACTAAAAAAATACCAAAAGAAAAAACTGCAAAATTAAAAGAAAAATGCCAAAAGAAAAAAATGCAAAACTAAAAAAAAATGCAAAAATTATAAAATACGTTTTTTGCCAAAACAACAATTTATTTTGCCAAAACTGAAAATGAAATTTTGACAAAACCCCCCTCCACCCTAAAAGTTATATCATAGTTATATTTGATAACGCACAGAAACATCGATGGTGAAAGAATATTTCAATTTTGCAACAAGTTATAAAAAATAAATTCGTTTTCTTGGTGTAATCCGGGATGTAAGGAATTTTACAATGCATTTTAAATACCGGTGTAAAATTCGATCCGTACATTCCTGATTACATTAAGATAACTAATAATACCATTTTTATATATATGTATGCGTTATTTTTTACGCTATAACAATGCTTTACATGTTCCTGTTTCTGATTAAAGTTCTACAAATGTTCGTTTGGTATCCGTCGACTCTCTTTTACACAACCCCCCCTTTTTTTTACAAAGTACAATTCTAAGATCGGTCAATTTTCATTTACTAAACAGAGCCAATATAGTAGCAAATCATAAAAAAATAAATGTTTTATACAGTATTTAAAATGAAGTTAGAAAAAAATGTAATATAAATGCCAGTGGTCGTTGTACACATTTAGATGACTCCTTCTCAAAAATGTTTCCTGTAGGCATATGCATAGGTATAAGCGTCGGTATCGAATAGTTTTCGAAAATATCTAATATGAAGGCCTTTAACCGACACACGTTATACTTATACTTTACCATGTTTACTGTGTAAAATGTTGTAGTCTGGGATTCTGACACAATATTTTCAATACCGTAAGTGGCAGTGAAGCTTGCGAAATCAAAATATTTTATCAGGATTCCAGGTTAGAAATGTTTTCAGATTCATTGCTCATCAACTTCCTGGTTACCGAATCCTAAATGCGGGGTATCATTTGTGAGCAGTAGCTATTTATCCTACCTCTTATAAACTTCTATGACTATCATTGGTTAAAAGAGAACGCGTAGACACCGTGTATATTTTTGGCGTATTATTTTTTTGTTAAATACAAGGTCAGCGTTTTTATACTTTAAATACACGATAGTAGGTAGAGTTACGTTCATTTATAAAAACGCAATACGATATTGTTCTTAAATCAACATATATTGTAGAGATAATTATAACATTATAATTTGACAAGTTTATAGACAAAAAAATATTTAATAGGCACTGACTTTCATATTGTCAATAATTGAAAGCTCTGTTTATTGTTGTGTTATAATGATAGTAACAAGATTTTCTGATATTAAATGTTATTGTTGGCCTTTGTTTTTGTATACACCAGTGCAAGTAAGTTCTTGATATTGAAGGGCTGGTCGCTGTAATAGTCCACCAAACAAACAAATATTGCTCAAATGAGTCCTATTGATCACTATAACAACAACTGAATAATATTTATTATTTTGTTTACAACTACGTCTAAATTTCCCGTATTAAGATCATCAATAAGATAAATTCGTTTCATATAGTTTGGTATTGACCAGATACGATATAAAGGGGGTCAGTAAATTCCATACGGGCTCGAGTTTCGATCTTGTCCCATATGAAATAAAAGTTTTTATGTGAACACTTGACTTCATTAATCTTTACGTCGCACTTTTTTTTTAATTAATTGTTATACTAGTACTTGACATATCTTGCATATCTTAGGTATGGGATTTAAAATTCGTGGACTTGATTTAAGTTTTAATTGAGGTAATAGACGGTGAGTCTTTATATTTTACAGTATTCAATGAGAATGATACATTTGCTACTAATTGAGAAGCATACGAATTAAGATTGAATGACAAATGACCAAATTAAGGCATGGAATACAGTTTTATTTTGGCACGAGTTTCTTTCAACTCGTTTAATCAAGCTTTAATAATTTGTTTACCGATTTATTTTCTACAATTAACCTGATTTTCCTTTTATATATCAAAATAATCGATTACAAGTAGGTGTAAAACAAAACGTCTACTTAATTTGAAACGAGGAATTTAGATATAAAAAGAAACTCTACCAATTCTTTTTACAGCCAGTTGTATTTTTTAATTCAGTGTCTAAACCGTAAGAGAAAAAAATAAATTGTTTTATCGTTGCAGGTAATTTTCACACAGACATTGTAATACTACACGCAAATACAGACCAGAGTGAAGCCGATGAGTGTAAAACATTCCTAATGAATAATTTTCCTGATATCTCTAATTTACAAGTTGTACTACCAGAAGATTTGTTAGCACCCGGAAGTCAACGTCTGCCCGGACTAAGTTCTATCTTAGACTCATGTCGATTAGTGTTCATCTATCTAACTGAAAATATCGAATCAGACACAGTTGCAGGGTTTGGAAGTCAAATAAATCTCATTCAGTCGTTGGAAGATCCACAGAAAGCAAACAGAATAATCCCATTACAAGTGAATGAAGGAAACATATTAGTCGAATTATCCCCACTCATACCTCTAAAATATGTTAAAGACACAACTGATTATCAGTTTCCCATTTTCAAACGGAAGTTAGAAAATTAAGTAAAATCTTGGAGGAATATATTGCCATGAGATCTAAAGAATAGAAAAATGTATAAATAAAAAAAAAATGGAAATGATATATAAACTTATAAATTTTGTTCGAATTTGTATTAGATAATTGGAAAATACAACGGACGCAATAACATGATTGGAGACACAAAATCCCAAAAAATATACCAAAAACAAAAGTTCAAGCTTACAATTTATTAAAGTTTGAGCAACATTATTTTTTCAACCTGATTTTTGTACAATGTATTATTTGATGTTGGTTTTGAAATAACTTCCAGTAACTGCGAGAGTACTCTCAGATCAGTACATTGTACGTGTCAGAATTGTTTTTGTAAATTATTTTTGATAATTTCTATCGATATGATGTGTCACCCTCTTTTCAATTGAATTTTATAGTTTTTTTCTTATTATGTGCTGTCACACTACTGTCTGAGGTAAGGGGCGCCGGCACACATGTATAACCTCGCCTTTTTGTATGTGCCTGTCGTTTGTTAGGAGCCTGTAACTCAGTGATTGTCTTTTGTTGTTGTATATCATAGCTGTGTTTCGTTTATTTTTTTGTACATTTATCAGGCCTTTGTTTTTTTTTTCGTTTGTATTACATTTTGTTGTGTCGTGTCGCAACTCTTTACAGCTTGCTATGCGGTATGGGTTTTGCTCTTTGTTTGTCCCACACCGCTAGTAGTTTCAATCTTGAAATTGGTGTTACCTTTTGCAAAATAACATTTTGAATAACTTTCTACCTGTAGGTGTGTTGATAATTTATAAGCACTTATTTGTAAAGACCATGCTGTCGTATAGTTTTCGTATTAAAGTGTGTTTCGTAATGATTCTTTAACAGGACTGTGACTTCAACCTTTTTATGCACATAAAAGATGCTGTTGAGAATTTTATGTGCACACTTCTTTGTCTACAGAGCAATTATTTGAGTTATGAACTTCTTTTAGCAATGTCTACTTAATTTTGTTGAGGTTTGAAATGTAAATATGAAACAAACGAGCGGTTCGTTTGAAAGTAAAAGATTTGGGAAATTTCTTTTGCACTCATTAGAGGAGAACACGTTAGAATAGTGTTTGAAACAATTTTTGAAATAAAAATGAAAATACATATTTTCATGACATTCTTGCCTTGGTGTTGTATTTTACTACTGTCACATACATAATGGTTTTTTTTGCATTCAACCATAAACACCATTAATCTTAATAACAAAACAGTAAATAAGTTTGATATAAGGATAGTGTGTGTACAAAAGAAATAAAAAGTATCTTCATCAGGAACACTCAAATACAAAGCCAGGGATGTATAGATCCTTGATGAATCATATGACCAAAAGGGGACGAAACTGATAAAGGTCAGCTTTGTTTGAGATATCAGAATCTGAGTGTCTAATTGTTTTCTTTATTTTTTAACGAATTTAAAAATCTATGTTATAAATCATGTCAGTTCCGAAGCACTGACTGCTTGGCTGCTTTACTCAGGGGATTAACAGTTCACACGCAGTGGTATCGACTCCGAGCTAGAACAGGAAAATAACACTCTACATATCGTTTCTATAGATGTTCTTGATCAGGAACGATCAAATCGAAAAAAAAAATTAAGGCATGGCTGTCTGGATACTTGTTGAGCTGTAGTTTTCGCCTCTCTTTTACCATATACCTTAGCACTTGTAAAGAACACATGTTGTCTCAGCTAAAACTCCTTACAAATAAAAAGAAGAAAAATGAAATGACCGTTTCTTCAATACTTTTGTTTCCAGTTTGTTTATACCAATGTAAAAACAAATTCCCATTCGTAAGTGTTGGGTGAAAAACAAATCATAGGTTTTTAATATAATTATTAACACGAGTAGAAATGATGTATAGTATTACTTTGTGGTATGTAGATATATCGTAACTATCTGACGTAATCCAATTGACAAAAATGTGAATATTAGTTTAAATGTTATAATAGAGATATTTGGTATACTTGTTGACTTCTATTATGTTATCTTTGTGGATTATATCAAAACCTCTATAATAAAACAGTGTGTGCAGTATTAATTTTTAATGATGCATTAAAACAAAGGATTTTTAAATAGGTAACTTTCACTAACGTACAGTTGTTACCTTAAGTATTTCTTAAAAACACAAATTTGTTTTGAATTCTTTTTGAAGATATTTAATGTCAAGTTTACTGTCTAAGTAAAACATTGGGATCTTTTGGTTTCATTTTAAAGGAAATAGTGTTTTTTTATAGTTGTTTATAAAACTATAAAAGGTAAGTTATTTACAAGGGTTTAGATATAAACACTTGTCAATACGAGTAGTTTTTGTAATCAAACATTTCTTTTAAGTGATTTTTGGAAAGTCAAGTTATGTTCTATTTGTTGAAAATCCTTAACAAAAGGAAATCTTTTATTTTGTTTTCACTTAAAATACAGTTATATGACATTAGTGCAAACATATTTTATTTGCTTATATGTACAGAAGCGACCTGATAGACAGTAATCGGCTTTGAACAACTAGCTTTCAGTAACTGCGAACACTCTTACGTCAGTGCTTTGTGTCTATCGCTTTTATGTTAGTTGTTTTTATGCTTTTTGAAGATATTTAATGTCAAGTTTACTGTCTAAGTAAAACATTGGGATCTTTTGGTTTCATTTTAAAGGAAATATTGTTTTTTTATAGTTGTTTATAAAACTATAAAAGTTAAGTTATTTATAAGGGTTTAGATATAAACGCTTGTCAATACGAGTAGTTTTTGTAATCAAACATTTATTTTAAGTGATTTTGGAAAGTCAAGTTATATTCTATTTGTTGAAAATCCTTAACAAAAGGAAATCTATTATTTTGTTTGCACTTAAAATACAGTTATATGACATTAATGCAAACATATTTTATTTGCTTAAATGTACAGAAGCGACCTGATAGACAGTAATCGGCTTTGAACAACTAGCTTTCAGTAACTGCGAACACTCTTACGTCTGTGCTTTGTGTCTATCGCTTTTATGTTAGTTGTTTTTATGCTTTTTGAAGATATTTAATGTCAAGTTTACTGTCTAAGTAAAACATTGGGATCTTTTGGTTTCATTTTAAAGGAAATATTGTTTTTTTATAGTTGTTTATAAAACTATAAAAGTTAAGTTATTTATAAGGGTTTAGATATAAACGCTTGTCAATACGAGTAGTTTTTGTAATCAAACATTTATTTTAAGTGATTTTGGAAAGTCAAGTTATATTCTATTTGTTGAAAATCCTTAACAAAAGGAAATCTATTATTTTGTTTGCACTTAAAATACAGTTATATGACATTAATGCAAACATATTTTATTTGCTTAAATGTACAGAAGCGACCTGATAGACAGTAATCGGCTTTGAACAACTAGCTTTCAGTAACTGCGAACACTCTTACGTCAGTGCTGTGTGTCTATTGCTTTTATGTTAGTTGTTTTTATGCTTTGTACCGATTTATTGAGTTTGCTATTTGCTAATGATTTTTACAGTTTGTTTTTATGTTGTGCTGTTACACCACTGTCCCGTGTAAGCGAGGGTGAGTTCATTATGCTCAATCTTTGGTTATCGATTTTGTGTTTTGTATACTGTTTGGTTGTTTTTCTTTTTTTGCCATGGTATTGTAATTTCGTTTTCGACTTGTGAGTTTGATTATCCGATTGGTCTCTTTCGCATCTATGTTTAACCCCGTCAAATTATTTATGTGCATGTCCCAAGTCAGGAGCCTCTAATTCAGTGGTTGTCAAATTGTGTTTCGTATATTAATTTGTTATAAATCAGGCTCTTAGGTGTCTTGTTTGAATTGTTTCACATTTTCCATGTCGGGGTCTATTGAAACATACTATACGGTTTGTATTTTTTCTCATTATTTAATGCCGTACGATGACCTATATCTTGCCTTCATTCATCTCATTTGAACCCTGATGAATAGTTGTCTCATTGGCAATTATACTACATTTCCTTTTTTTAACCACATTCTTTATGTGAATTCCCAAAAACCAGAAGCCAACAATACGATGGAGCAATTGGTTGCTGTCTGTAATAATTGTTGCTCATTTATTTTGCAGTATTATTTAACTCACCATAAATACCAGGCTAAATTTCATTTAATTGAAAAATTCAACAACACTTACTGCTAACTTGATTTCTTAAAAAACTCAAGAACTTTCTAAATATACTGCCAAAATTGAAACAAAGGATCTCACTTTCAATAAATCAAATACATACAAACGGTAATAACTGTCCTTTCGTGTATTAGGAAATTGCAGTTTTACACGGGAAACTCTACAAAGAAATTTACGACAAGAGACGATTTTTCGTTCCCTATTGATGATTTTCCTTTTTGGGACGGGGATTTTCGTTTAGCACCATCTTATTGTGATATATATAACGTTCGATATGCCCGTGTCTGTAGTGACGTTTTGAATATTAATGAACGTAAACAATGTATCAAAATTAATTTGTTACCACAAATTACTTGAAACCTTTACTAAATTATTCCATAGAAGTTTTGCTGTACCTGTAGAAAACCTATTTGAAACGGAATAGCACATTCTTATTTTACCGTGTTGTTTCTCGAGCTCGGAAATTTAGATACGATCCGGGTAAACTTATCGCTTCTTTAAATTAACTTATTGTCAAAAGTTACAAATTCAACGCTGTATGAATAATGTTTTTATTGAAATCAGTATTGATTTTGTTATCTGGAAATTAAAACTAAACTAAACAGTATGGTTATATACATTATGCACATTCACGGTTCTACAATCTCTCGATACCTGTACTAAGTCTTGCACACGGTCTTGTTTTTTCTTTAACTGTTAATCACGTCTTTACACTAAATCCATTGGATGTTGAACATGTACTGATCTTAGGTAATTGATTTGTTTTATTAGTTGTTATTGGCTTTGAACTAGCTTGCAGTAACTTTGAGAACTCTCAGACTTGTACTTAGTGTTTTTTTTTTTTATGTCTGATGTATAAATTCCTTTCCACGTCCGGTTTGTGTTTTAGTTAGTTGTTTTTCTGCGTTGTATTGATCTGAAGAGTTAAACCTTTTTCAACTGATTTTTATAGTTTGTTCCTATATGTTGTACTGTTACAGCACTGTCCCAGGTTAGGGGGAGGGTTTGGTGACAACAAACATTTTTAACCCCGGCACATTGTATAGTGCCTGTCCGAAGTCAGGAGCCTGTAATTGAGTGATTTTTTTTCTGTTTCTCATATTTGTTTTTCGTTTATTTTTTTGTATATTTTGTTGTTGTGTTGTGCCGTTACAACACTGTCCCAGGTAAAGGGACTGTTGGCGCCTTCAAACATGTTTAACCCCGCCACATTCTTTATGTGCCGGTCCCAAGTCAGGAGCATGCAATGAAGAGGTTGTCGTTTGTTGCTGTATATCATATTTGTTTTTGTTCATTGTTTTGAACATAAATCAGGCTGTTCTCGATTGAATTGTTTTACATTTGTCATTTCGGGGCCTTTCATAGCTGACTATGCAGTATGGGTTTTGCTCAATTTCGAAGGCCTTACGGTGACCTATAGTTGTTAACTTCTATGCCATTTAGTATCCAGTGGTGAGTTGTCTCATTGGTAATCATACCACATCTTCTTATTTTTATATAAAAATTTGTACGCCAGACGTACGTTTCGTCTACAAAAGACTCATCAGTGACGCTCGAATTTAAAAAGTAAAAAAGGCCGAATAAAGTACGACGTTGAAGAGCGTTGAAGACTAAATAAGGCTGTTGGTTTTCTATTTTGGTATCCCGGGCAATTTATAGCTTACTATACGGTATAGTCTTTTTTTCAATATCGAAAACCTTACCGCAACCTGTAATTGTTCATATCTGTTTGTTGCAATGGATAGTTGTCACTTTGGAAATGATATAACCTCTAATTATTTTGATAATGGTCTGTTTTACTAGTTGTAACGTAACAAATGTTTATGACGTATTGTAGGATAACAATGAGTGGACGGGATTTATGTCTTGTTTCCGAAACAGCTGCAATTCGAGGGATATTTGGATACCTCTGGTCTAAACGACAAACAGGTACTTGTGTATATATATTTACAAGCTGTACATATATAATGAATGTTGCGAAACATGTCAACGAAACGGCTATTTTGCGACAAAAACAATCAAAGTTAGACATTGGAAGGTCAACTTACATGTATAGGCTAATATATATACAACATGTCAAAATACGGATAAAAACAAGATTAATAAAAATTTGGCATATGTAAACATATTGTAAGAGAAAAGCTAACGCAATAAGTAAGAGGTAAGTCATCCGCCTGGGAGGTTTATGACTTAGTCATAGTATATATAGTATTTTTTATAGAGGAAAACAACTCATCTCCATTTTAATTTAGTATAATGGAATAACAAAAAGTATTAAAAATCACTAAACTCTATGGTATCCAGTTCAAAGGACAAAGAAAACAAATTCAAGCAATACAATGCTAAATTATTCTATTTCAATTCTTTATTTAAGGCCAAACAAAGAGTATGTCTGTTAATGGTTCCCTTTTTCAGAAAAAAAGGGTAGGTAAGTAGGATTGTGTTTTATATTTGATCGTCATTTTTACATTCAGTTTATCTGGCAATTTTGTCATGATCAATTACAAAGAGTGCACATTAAACTTGAGGGTAGAAAGTAAGAAGTATAAGACAAAGACAGGAGAATCCTTATCACAGTAATATTTTTATTTTGGTCTTACTGAAAGGAAGCTGGAACTATGGTTAAAGTCTGTCATATTTGTTTTTTATTTAAATTGTTTGGTCATAAATCAGTCCATTAGTTTTCTCATTTGAATTGTTTCACTTTTTGTCACATCGGTGCCTTTTGTAGACGTCTACACGTTATGGGTTTTGCTCATTATAAAAGACCGTACGTTGACCAATACTTGCTTATGTCCACGACATTTAAAATCTGGTTGATAGTTCTATCGTTGAAAATCATACCACATGTCCCTTTTTTATATTGTTAGATTTCTTTGTCCGTTTTATTCTGTATGTAACATCATCGTCATTGATATTAGAATTCACCTAAAAGCAGTTTTCCCATTTCATCTTTGCTAACTTAGCTACAACAAAACAATAACAAAATTATTTTTTAGATTTTTGATGACGACACATAATCTAAATTCGTCGGTTCAGTTTTCATAATGTGATGACCTTCTAAATAACCAGAACCCATTTTCATCTTAGTTCAAAATCGACTCAGATAATAAACCGACTTCATTCCGCGGTTTTCGAGATAATGTTTTCTGCTGAAACCTGGATTGTTTTCCTGTTTTTGGTTTTATGTTTGTTCTTTATGAACGTTTTGTTAATCTACAGATGGAGATAAAAAAAGTAGGGTTGAGTCTATAAAAGCAAATTTAACCTGCCGCATCTGCATTTGCCTGTCTCATATCCAACATATCTTAACCTTCGTCAGTAAATGTATGTGATATCTTAATAATTGTCGTTATCGTAGAATTTGGTGTTTATTGAAGCTTTTTGATTGTTTCTGTTAATTTTTTCACAACTTTGACATATTAAGAGATTGTCATATTGTATAGACATTTGTCTTGTGTTAAAGACTACATGTATGTTACCCTCTAGATGTCGTTTGGTAATTTGTGTTGTTGTGTTACCGCATCTCTTTTTTTCCGAACGACGGTCCCAGAACTATATAGCCATTTAATAAAAAGATATATATACCCCCCCCCCAAAAAAAAAAATAATGTCGATGATCACAATTACATTTCTTTTTATTTTTTATATTTACAGAAAAACTTAAAAATTATAGAATAATATAGGTTATCAATTTTCTTCATTTCAAAAGCTTGTTTTAAAAGCATGACGGGAAAAAAAACTTTGAACGCTTCTTTTATACTGTGTCTGTGTAGTATAAGACCTTTCTTTCTTGAATCACGCAACAGTTTACATTTGTAATTTGATGATTTTCCACCAGTTTTATACAGTACAGATTATATCTCATCCAAAAATTTAAACACAATTATTTTCTTATTAAATTTAAGCTGAAAAAATTAGAACATTAGCAGGTAAGTACACATTTAAACATGGAAATCGTATTTTTCTACTTTAAGAAATTAAACATGTTATGCTGAATATAGTATGTACTTTAAGGTATGTATTTCACTTTAAATATTTTGAACATACATCATTTTATCGTAAAGTATTAGTCCAAATCACTTTCCGTTCTAACTTGCAAAAAGGAAAATAACGGAGATAATTCAACGTTTCCGCTACGCACTTTGTTAGAATACCCTACATTTAGTTTTTGATTTATGCTTTTGTTGAAGAAACGTTGAATAACAATAATGTTTACTTTTTTTATCAAATGAACAGGTTGATTTAATCTGGACACTTCAGTGCAGAAAATTCTTTTCTGATGTCACTATGTCATCTTTTATGTTAACAATTTGAAATATACACACATTACACAAAATTTGTCATCTTACGCATAGTATTGTGGCGCAATAAATGTTACCAAAGACGTATCCAAAAATATATTTATATATACACATATATGTATATTCTTAAAAAGATGAAACAACACTTTAAGGGTCCAACTGTTGATTTGATAATGTTAAATGCATGTATTGTCTATAATGAATATCTTATATGGTTACCTTTTTTTTCTCTTGTTTGTAATTGATATGCCTTTAACATGTTTAAGAGCCCTTTAATTAGAAAATAAACGCATTTGATTTGATTGGATTTTATAGTAAATCTATTTCTATTTTAATGTTCTTAGGAATCAAAAATGGCAGCGTATGGACAAAATATAAAAGTAACATGTTATATAATTTCTGAATGAAATGGATTTATGTACAATGCAAAAATAATCCGTTTTAAATAAAATAGTGACAAAACTAATAAAATATATCCCGTCCTTTATCATGTTTATAGCTATTTATTTCTTTCCGGTATATCACTTTTCTAATTTTACAATTGAAGGCCAATATATGATTTGTGAACTCATTTAGTTGATAGCGACACGTTAAAGAATGTGAATTAATCTTGTTTTGATAAAAGACGTTTACAGTAAGTAGAATTTTTCATACATGCTTGCTGTCTTAAGTAGATGAACATCGATAGCACAGTCAGATACATGTATTTATTAATAGAATGAGAACAAAAACTTACTGTGTTACACTGTACAAATAAGAGTGTCTAATACATTTGTATCAACCCGTTGGCTTGTTTATATTTATTTTGGATTTGGATTTAAACTAATAAAAGGTTAGTGATTTTAGACCGATCATATTTTGAAAGTGTGGACTTCTTAAAAACAAATCATGTGACGTTTATTTTAACTCCCAGTGAATTTAGGTCAAATGCACATACAAATGGCGTTGTTGCAAGATAAAGCACCCAATCGATCATTGTTAAATGTAACAGAAGGCTTACGTAACCGTAACACAATTTAAACTACGAGTGTGTATCTTACATACATGTCACATGTTTTTTTATAGAATGGTGTATTAGAAAACAGGCAGACGCAATTATCAGAAACACTTTGATATAAAGTATGAACTGGCGTTTAAAATTGAGTATTGTTTCTGTAAGCATATAGATTGCTCGATCCCGTCTAATAAGAATAACATGATTGCTTCCTTCAGACTAAGCAATGATATATATAGAGAATATTATACGGCTTTTTCAATGTCACATTCGTATCAACCTGAGATACCTCTACAATCCCAAGAGCTCAAGTAGACAAAACAGATTTAATATATCTCAATACAAGAATCCAAGAGAAATCAATTATTGTTACAATATTTTGTTAAAACAAGAATTGCAATTAATTCTGTTATTTTTTGTGACAACTGTTAAAGAGAGGCGAAAGATACCAAAGGGACATTCAAACTCATTACTTAAATACGTAGAAATTTCAATATTGCAAAGTCACCTGTCTGTTGTCGAAGACTGTATAGTATCCTAGATAGGTTGCACCTGTTTTGTTTACGTACTGATTCCCCATATGATCTCTATGTTTCATCTCATAGAGACATAACTTGTGAAAGTTACCAGTATAATTACACATGGATAGCGGCCAAAATTGAATTTTGAGGAAGACCCAAAGTAAAGGAAGGCGTAGTACAGAATTTTAGTATAACTTTAAACTCTTAAAAGTTCGAGGCATATACATGTTGAAAATATACTGCACAGCCCAATATTTAGACCGTTGAAAAAAGTAGTAGTGGTATCTTTCGCCTCTTCTCAGTGCATTCTAGAATATAATTTTTTAAGAAACGTCATAGTAAAAATGGCACAGTTCTAGCCGTTAAAGGAGTTCCTATGGGAAATTGTTTATATTTACAGAAGTGCAACCTGTATGTCATTGGTTATTTTTCTCATTGTGTTGCTGTCTCATTGACGTGTACCCACGTCACCTTTTTCGTGTTAGTGAAACTCGGACCATATTTCCATTTTATAAGAAAAAAAAACCAAACAAAACAAACAAACCAAAAACACACACAATACTGATAATCACATTCACATTTCTTTAAATTATTTTATATATTTACAGAACATTTTTGAAATAGAATAGTCAGTACGGTTTATCACTTTTCTTCGTTTCAAAAGCTTGTTCAAGTATGACTGGAAAACAGTTTAAAGCTTCGTTGAGACTGTTTCTGTAATATAAGCCTTTGTTTGAATCACGCACGGTATTCATTTGTATTATTTTAAGTTAGATTTAAGCTACCAAATTTAGAAGATGTACAGGTAAATAAACATTAAAACATGGAAACCGTATGGTCTACTTAAGGAAATTAAACACATGTTATGCTTAAAATAGCATATGCTCTAAGATATGCATTTGATTATAAATAATTATGCTTTCGCTTGAATATTAAGGTTTTGAACAAACATCATTTCAAAGGTAAACTATTGGTCCAAATTAGTTTCCAGTATTACTTGCAAAGAAGGTAATGCCTGGGTTAATTCAGCGTTTCCGCTATCCACTTTGTTAAAATACCCTGCATTTAGTTTTCTTTTTTGTTTTTATTGATACAACGTTGAAAAACTTCATTTTTGTCACATAAAATGGTACATTAGGTCTAAAAATATCTTTTAGTCAGTTCAATGTAACTTATGAATTACAAATTCTGTGTTGTCATGAATTATCATTGAAATACTCATAATTATAAATTAGCTGCTTGAAAAACTTTTTTTTTTAAAATTCTAAGAATTTTCTACCAAAGAAAAAGCAGTATTTGGCAAAACCTTTTGGAATTTTGGGTCCTCTATGCTCTTCAACCTCGAACTTTATTTTGCCTTTTATTTTTGTTTTATTTTAGCGTCACTGATGAGTCTTTTGAAAACGATACGCGCGTCTGGCGTATATCATTTTAATTGTGCATCTAAGTTTAATTTGTTAGTCTAGTGTAAGAGCTTCATACTTAAAATGTGCGTTCGATCAATGCTTTTACAATCGTTTGTTTTCCGATCCATTGTTGTGAAGTTGTAACGAGAAACACGTGCTGACTTAGGGTTGAATTTTATGAGAAATACAAATTGATATTGGAATGCCTCGCGACTGCTTTCAGCCAATCAAAATTACGGATTTTTATGAAACATACATGTGATGTAATTATTAGTCATTGAATGGTAACAATACAATATACCCAATACCCAATTTTCGCCAATTTTGTAAAACAGTGACTAAAACCTAATAGGTTTTCTAAGATACTTAACATATAGTATCTTTATTATCTGTTATTATGCACGTTTTTCAACATAGCTAAATAGACCCATCGATACACGAAACGATCATATTCTATATCAGCAGATGACGGATCAAGTAAGAAAGTTAAATTTTCAAAAACATCGGATTTCAAAAATTAGCAATTAAGATGTGTCACAGGCATCCATTTCTTACAAAATACTAATACATATCAATTTTACGGATGTGTAGTTAAGCATGGGTGCAATTAAGGTTCCAATCTTTATACAGAATTGGTGATCGGTTGGAGTTTGGTTTAAACCCGTTTTTCTGATCCAGTAAGGATTCAAATCAAGATTGTTGAACTGTATAATCCTGATAACAAGTAAATATACAACTTCAAAACATTCACATGATGGGCACTTTTGTCTGTTTATTAAAAAATCAAAGAGTATATCTCGTTTGTTTCATTTTTAACTTCTACAGTTTAAATTGAAAAACACTAAACTTTCTACAGTGATTACACACCTATTCAAGATGTGCTTTTCTTTTGAATAAGTTTTTTTTAATTGTTTTTTCCTTGGGTTTCCCTTATGTCGACCTTAGTAATTTTTGTTATTTAGTTATACCAAGGCAATAAGTTTCCGTCATCTGTAACTCCAACAATTGCCCTTCAACACTATTAGGGACTTTCCGTTTTGAATTTTCCTCGGAGTTCGGTATTTTTGTTATGTTATATCTTTGCAGTTGAGCTTCATAATAACAGCTAAGCTGTTTTAATAACTTTCAAAATACTCAGATTTTTTACTCTTAGAAATTCTTAATAACAATATGGAAACTACCACATTCCTGCAACGCAATTGGTTGCACATATGATAATTGACGATATTCAGAAACCTGTCGTCATGGTGCTTAAGGCTGATCTTTAACAGCACTGTGCCTTGCCTCTCCTGACTAGGTTGTGATCATGTGCTTTAATTAGGTTAACTTTGTATTTTTTCTTTTCCACCGTGTTGGCTGCAAAGTCATTGACGGCTCTTCTACAAAAATCTGACGACACAAGTTTTAATCGTTAGTTATATTTTACGATTCTTGACTGTCGAGTATTTTTTCTCATGTGATTTCATTTGATAGGTGCATGTACCTTAACACGCCTTTTCTACGAAATTTATACTGTTTATAGTTTGCATTAAAATTGTTGACATAAATAGATCTTAATATTTATAATGCCCTATGGTCTGCGTTATTGATGAAATTGGTGAAATGTCAGAATATTCCTTTGTCATTTAAAAAGGCATTAGCTTTGACCTATATTGGTTTACTTTTTACAAATTGTGACTTGGATTGAGAGTTGTCTCAATGACACTCATATCACATCTTCTTATATCTATAAGCTGTCAAATTCATTTCCATCAATTTGACCCAAATTTTTATTTGATTTATAACATACTAAAACGTATACTCAAATTCCCAAAAATCCATGAGATTCAATTGACAATAGATGGACTTGTTATAATGTATCCGTATTTCGAACGTATTTTAGACCAGACGCCATCTAATTACCCATTGATATGACCTCCGACGTCTACCGACGGTCATAAAACCCGATTTAAACCTAAATATAAATATAAACTGACAAACAAGCAGGTGCAATCGTATATCGACGATTTTTTTTAGATCTATCTGATTTTATGTTACAGATTAAAAGTATATGTAAATTATCGTTTTACTTGTATAAGTATTATATTTTGTAGGCTGGATCAGTCAATAAAATGGTTATATTCGTGGTGTCTCTCTTGTTTTAACTTTCAATGTTAACATTCTTTTCTTTTAATAAATGAACCATATTTTGAACACATACGCAACCCATCTCCACTGAAGGTCAGAAAGGTAAAATGAATACGGGTTCAAATGAGGTTGAATAATACATAAGCATTGTTTTTAGCTTATTTTGACGAAATTGAACCAAACTGATTGCTAAATAGCGAAATGTGATTGCTCTATTCCGCTTTTATAAATGTTTGAAACAAAAAACTATTTAGATTCTTTGTCTAACTCATATTTAAGACCCCTTTAAGAACTGAATGCCTCTTTTTGTTATTTTTTTTAGTGTGAAAGCATTGACTGGGGCACACTTTTTGATGATAATTTTATGAATGTTATTGTGAAACTATATAGTGTCTCATAAGTCAAATTTATGACTGGGTATTGATTGTTTTATTGAAAACTATGATACGTAAATATTTTGTCAATCAATATGTGACACTATAATAAAATAAATATTTATTTATTTTTATTTTTTGTACGAAGCTTTCAAAAAATGTGGGCATGTTCAATGCATTTATATCCCTATAATATTACAAATAAAAAACATTTACTTCTTATAATTATATTTTAATGCAATAACAATGAAATTATGAATGCTTGTTTTTCTGCGGCTTTTTTTTTCGTTTTCACAGGTTGCACGTGCATTCACATTTGTTTCATTTTATGTAACTTATGGAATGCATCAGCCAATCAACCTTACGGAATTGTATTTAGTATAATTATATAGTAATGATTTGAAAATATAAAAACAAACTACTAACTGACAATATTGAAATCATTAGTGAATATGTTTTTTATAAATCATACTAATTTGACCCTGCGATTGCAACAAATTCTCTTCTTCTTAAACAAAAAACTGCATTTTAAAATATAGACTTTTACACATGTTTCAATTTTCTTGAAATAACTTATGTGATTTTACTATGTTTATAGCGTCGACGAGTAATGGAGTATCAAAGGGTTTTAATCGGATTGGAAATATTCATTTTTTCTTAACCACCAGTACAGTGGATAGCAATGAGTCAACTTATATTATCAATGGGTGAACCCTATCGCAAATCATACTTTATCTTCCCCGAATACCGCTTGACTGATTTATACAAAACTCGGGACAAATAATTTGTGATACTTTAGTTTAAATAAAATTCCTTATTATGTTCAGAAATATGGTACGGAAAAATGAGTATATACCTAATGGTAAACCGACAAGGAACGTCTGTTTAAAGTTATAAATATATATATATGTCCTGACTATATGAGTATTTGGACAATACCCTGTTTCAACCATACGCGTATGGTCCATGTAATTAATACAATGTACGTTTAAAGGTGACTTTTACTGTATGATCCTGCAAGGTGTCACAAATTAAGAGTTTTTTAAATTAAATTTTGTCTCATTTAATCATGTTAGTATATTTTTATATGATTAATGAAATAAAGTAAAGTTTACTCACAAGTTTAAATTATTGTTAAAGTATTTTTACAAAGTCATTATCGATTTTACCGTACGAAACACAATATGTCGACTTAGAACTACAACTTAACAAAATATCTAAATTAACCGTCAAACAAGATGTAAGCTATTTAACTCACAGGCCATTGGGGCATAGAATCTTCCTCTTTATTTTTATTTTTTGTTTTGGTGTTAAAGTATGTTATTTTCAATAAATTCAAATTTCTTAAAATTTCAAATTGTTTTTAGTTCTTTAATGTATTTCTGCTGCTATTCAAACGAAGCGACAACAAGAGTATAGATTATACGCGTTGTCCCTGTATTATAATGTGGACAATAAGATCACGTATTTCTAAATGATATTTTGAACAAATAAAAGTGAAAAAAGGTGAATTTAAAAAAAAAAAAAAAAAAAGACTAATGTAAACAGTGGGGAAAACAAAATCTACGCACAGAACGCCTTTGGTTTCAATTATGGACGAACAGGTTAACATGATAAAGACGTTTAACATGACGCTAGTTCCATGTAGAACAAGGTAACCAAAACATTCAATATAAGATTCAGACAATATGTCAAAGATAAAGGATTTCAGTAAGTAACTTGTGACAAGCTGTGTGTTCCTACGAAGGAAGTTATAATTCATGCGACAAATACCTATATGGTTTAAATACTAAATTATAGTCCTGCCTGTTAATAACCGCACGAGTATATGTCGAACCATATGAGTAAACGCATATGGGCATGACCATACGCGTATGGTGCAAATACTGATATTTTCCGGAACGTATACAGTAAAGTTTATACTACTTATTCAGACGTTTATAATATTTATACATATTCATAGTTGTGTTAACATCAGATAATACCAGTATCGCTATATCAACGATACAGGATTTTTAAAGGGAGAATTTTGTTCTGCGCTTCATATTCTATACCCATTTTGAACACGTTATGTATGCATTCATCGCGAATCTGACATGTCTGTTGACGTATAAGGTGACAAAAACACATTTTGTTGCATCCATTGAAATCGATTTCTTTCTTTTATGCATAAGCTGTTGGTTTTTCTTTTGCAGAAATGAAGTGTTCCAACGATGAAGAATTATTGGTTTGAAATTGGTGTTGGATATTATTAACAAAACGTATAGTTTTTACAACATTGCCCCACCATGAGTATCAGGGATTCCGTTTGTGTGGTAGGCGGTGTTTTACTTGGATTTGGAATTTCTTATAGAATGCTGAGACTACAATCAGGTAGGCATATTACACCTTAACGAAAGTTATTTGAAGAAGATGGTCAATATGCGATATACTTGACAAAGTCTAAATTATGAACCTCAAAAAAAAAATTAACCAAAATACCGAACTCTAAGGTAAACTTAAGGTGGAAGTCCATAGAACCTGATAAAAACAAATGTTTGACTTTATTAACCAACGTAACGAAATCATTACAGCATTTCATTAATACAGTAAGCGTACGTTATTGCAGTGAAACTCATATTTGTATGAAATTGTTACGAAAGTTTTGGAACTCTTCATATATCAAAGGAAGATTTCAAACTGACCGTGTGTTAAGCAATACCCAAGAAAAAAGAATGTCTGACTGTTTCATGTTTGTTCTCAACTACTGTTATGGATATCATTTGTCAAATTTTGTAATGCAGCTTATGTAAACAGTGATATTAACTATGGCTGTACCTAAAAAGGTTACCTATTCAACACTGTAATTATATCTTTTAATATTCTTTTTATTGGTATAAATTTTGATTTTGTGATCAGTACATTAAAACAATACTAAATATTACACATATGTACTTTCACGGTACGTACATGTACTACAATCTGTCGATAACTATATTTTTATATTACACAAGGTCATGTTTTTCTCTTACTGTTAATGACGTCTTTACACTAAATCAATTGGTTGTATACTGATTGATATTTTAATCTTAGATACATGATTTCTTTTATTAGTTGTTATTGGCTTTGAACTAGCTGTCAGTAACTGCAATTACTCTCAGATCTGTACTTAATGTCTTTTTTGTTGTAAGGGATGAGGAATAGTTATATGGCCTGACATGTTCTGTCTGTGTTTTTGTTTGTTATTCTTTGTATCGATCTGATGAGTTAAGGCCTTTTCAACTGATTTTATATGTTGTTCTTCTGAGTGATTTTACACCACTGTCCCATGTGAGTTGGAGTGTTTAGCGCTCACAAACATTTTTACACGACAATATATTTGTTGAGTTTAGGATTGATATTTCAACAGACAGTCGGTATTCCAATGGGTACTAATTGTGCACACCTTCTGACCGATTTGTGTTTGTACTGGTATGAAGCAGAATTTATTCAGAACCTTCTACAGTACTTGCAACCTTAGGCGTTACTGTTTTAGCGATCAATCAGCGGTCATCGATCAGTCACCGATCAGTCAAGTTCGCGTCAAACGCACGTCACCAATCCGTCAGACTTATAGTAATAGTATTTGACTAATCGGACGGATCGGACGGATAGGACCGATCGACCTCTCTGACGGATTGAAATCTACTAAGTCACATGATAAACTAATACAAATTACGAAATCTTAGTTTCATTTCATTTAATTAAAATGGCGACATGGAAAATACGAAACATTCAAGTACAATTGATCAACATCTTTTTTTATTAATTATTTAGCACAGTTTTAAGAATTTAAAAAAAAAGAAATATACATATAAAACTAAATTTAAATATTACTATTAGAGAATGGCCATTTTCGTTTTAATTTAGGTTATATTTTTTCAAACCCGGACATTTCTAAAACGGTGTTGATCGCGATTTTCAGTGATTTTATTATTTTCCGGAAATGCTCTTGAAAAAAAAAATGAAATGGAATGATCATTTATTGCAAATTTCGATGTATTATTTTAAAATATTTTTAAGTATTTTATCCTTATAATCTTAAAATTCTTTAAACAAAATTATCTCGAGGCCATTAAAATAACAAATCACAAAAAAAAATAAAAATGCTGCAATTTCTCTTAAAAATAAAAAAATATTGGTAATTTTAAACAACGATAACAACATTATAGTATATTTTTTCTGATAGTTTTTTAACTTAATAAAACATAATCAATCCTAAGCTATAAAAAGTACAAAAATGCAATTAAAAATTACTTATCTAAAGGCATTTATAATGACTGATAGCAACTGCATTGCACTATTTCTGATATAAAAGAAGAAATATTTGTATTTTTATGCAATGCCCCTTTGGGACTTTCAAAAGTTGGCAGGTATGAATGCGAATATTAAATTTAGTATCTGATCCCTTAAATTCAACATATTTTATGAAAAACAACCAATCCTGATGTCCAAAAAGTACTGAAATCAAATAATAATTCATTATTTCTATCAAAATGAAGATATTATTACTTTCTTTTACAACACCAACAAAAGTTTAAGCCTTATTCTACTTACAATATTAAAATTCTTATAAAAAAAATAATCTTGAAGCCTTTGAAATAACTAGTTACAAATAACATTGCATTATTTTTTAACAAAACAAGAGAAACTAGTAATTTTAAACAATGCGAACAACATTTAAGGATATTTTCTATGATCTTCTTTTACTTTTATGAAAAACAACCAATACTAAACTATGAAAAGTACAAACATCTAATGACAGTCAATAATTTCCATTCAAATAAAGAAATTATTGCATTCTTGTTCAACAAAAACAAAAGTATATGCATATTTATCCTTCATTTATTCACATTTTATTAAAAAATACTTATATAAAGGCATTTATAATGACTGATAGCAATTGACGTTGCATTATTTCTGATATAAAAGAAGAAATATTTGTATTTTTAAGCAATGCGAACATTACATTTAGAATCTTTTGCCTTAAATTCAACATATTTTACGAAATACAACAAATCCTGAACCATAAAAAGTTCAAAAAGCCATAGGCGTTAAATAATTTCCATTAAAAAAGAGAAATTATTGAATTCTTATTTAAAAAAAACAAAAGTTTATGTAAAGGTATCCTTAAATTATTCATATCTTATATAAAAGTACTTATCTGAATGCATTACTTATGACTGATTGCAATTGACGTTGAATTATTTCTGATATAAAAGAAGAAGTATTTGCATTTTTAAGAAACGCTAACACAAATTAATTATCTTTTCCCTGAAATTCAGCATATTTTATGAAAAACAACCAAACCTGATGTACAAAAAGAACCAAAATCAAATGATGGTTCATAATTTCTATCAAAATAAAGAAATTATTGCATTCTTATCTAACAAAAACAAAAGTTTATGCATATTTATCCTTCAATGATTCACATTTTATACAAAATTACTTAACTGAAGGCATTTATAATGACTGATTGCAATTGCAGTTGCATTATTTCTGATATAAAAGAAGAAATATTTGCAGATTTGAGCAATGCGAACAAAAATTTAGTATCTTTTCCTTGAAATTCAGCATATTTTATGAAAAACAACCAATCCTGATGTACAAAATGTACCGAAATCAAATGAAGGTTCATAATTTCTATCAATATAAAGAAATTATTGCATTCGTATTCAAAACAAAACAAAAGTTTAAGTATTATTCTCCTTACATTATCAAAATTCTTACAAAAAAAATCTTATTGGAAGACTTTGAAATAACAAGTTACAAATAACATTGCATTATTTTTTATCAAAAGAAGAAAAATTGGTAATTTTAATCAATGCGAACAACATTTTAGTATATTTTCTCAGATATTATTTTGTTTTATAAAAAACAACCAATCCTAAACCATAAAAAGTACAAAAAGCCATAGGCAGTCAATAATTTAAATTGAAATAGAGGAATATTGAATTTTTATCAAACAAAAACAAAAGTTTATGTATATTTATCAGTAAACTATTCATATCTTATACAAAAGAACTTATCTGAATGCATTAATTATGACTGATTGCAATTGGCGTTGAATTATTTCTGATACAAAAGAAGACTTATTTATATTTTCAAGCAACACGAACAAAAATTTAGTATCTTTTCCCTGAAATTCAGAATATCTTATGAAAAACAACCAATCCTGATGTACAAAAAAAACCAACATCAAATGACAGTTCATAATTTCTATCAAAATAAAGAAATTATTGCATTCTTATCTAACAAAAACAACAGTTTATGCATATTTATCCTTCAATGATTCTCATTTTATACAAAATTACTTATCTAAAGTCATTGATACTGACTGATTGCAATTGAAGTTGAATTATTTCTGATATAAAAGAAGAAATATTTGCATATTTAAGCAATGCGAACAAAAATTTAGTATCTTTTCCCTGAAATTAAGCATATTTTATGAAAAACAACCAATCCTGATGTACAAAATGTACCGAAATTAAATGACGGTTTATAATTTCTATCAATATAAAGAAATGATTGCATTCGTATTCAACACAAAACAAAAGTTTAAGTATTATTCTCCTTACATTATCAAAATTCTTACAAAAAAAATCTTATTGGAAGACTTTGAAATAATAAGTTACAAATATCTTATACAAAAGAACTTATCGGAATGCATTAATTATGACTGATTGCAATTGGCGTTGAAATATTTCTGATACAAAAGAAGACATATTTACATTTTCAAGCAACACGAACAAAAATTTAGTATCTTTTCCCTGAAATTCAGAATATTTTATGAAAAACAACCAATCCTGATGTACATAAAGAACCAAAATCAAATACTAATTTTTTTTAAATTCTATCAAAGAAACTTTTCTTGAGGCCTTTTAAATAACTAATCAGAAATAACATTGCATTATATGTTATAAGAAGAAGAAATATTGGTAATCTAGAACAAAAATTAAAACAACACTCTAAATTAATTAATCCAAACAAAGCTGTATGTATCTTTACTGTTCTACTATTTTTATTTTCATCATCTAACGACAACAAAAAGAGTACTTACTTTAAATGATAACATTAGACTAGTAATGGACTTCTGGTGTTACATAATTAACCAGTAAAGGTGTCTTCGTAGAGGTCCGCGTTTATTGACTGTAAAAACTGTGGAGTTCGTTTTACATAAGAAGTTTAATTATATACGTATCCGTCCGATCCGTGCATACAATTAATTTTACTGATCGATCGCTGAACGTTGTCACGGTAACTCTCACATAGCCTATTTGACGTATCTGACGGATTCTATGGGTCATCGATCACCGATCAGTCATCGATCAGTCAAACATCCGTCACCGATCATTCACCGATCAGTCAAGTTCACGTCAAACAGTAACGCCTAAGGTTGCAAGTACTGTAAATGGTAAAAAAAGCACCTTGCAAAATTCTTTAATTTTACTTTCAGATATATTAATGATGTCCTATTACTGAATAACCTATATTTCAGTCAAAACTTTCATCTCATATATCCCTGTGAACTTGAAATTAAGGATACTATTGATTTTAGAAGGGCTGCTTCATACCTTGATCTTTTCCTCAATATTGATGGACGACCTCACACTTAATTTGTCACTATAGTCGAGTTAATTTCCATTTTCCATGGATAAAGTATTTTGTTAGTCCAAATAATTATGACGTCGTCACAGCATTAATTTAAAATAGCCTTTCAATACCGTCATTGTCATGATAACTATTTGGACTAGTATTGTGTAAGTTATTGTTAATTATTCGATCTCGTTCCATTTAATTGTATGAATTTCAAGATTACATATACGTCACAAAAATACGTCACAGTTTGTGGTATCCTGTGCTGTTGTTAATGGTAGATGTTCGCTGTTATTCTGCGGTTCACATGATACTAATGTACTATTATATTTATTTATTTATGCGTTTCTCTGTGCTAAGTGTTCTTGCGTTTGTTTGTACTGTATTCCTGTCACGTAGTGTTGTCATTTTAGCGATATTTTTTACATTGCCATATAAGCGGGAGGTTTGGCTAACCATAAAACCAGGTTCAACCCACAATTTTTTTCTAAAATGTCCTGTACCAAGTCAGGAATATGGCAGTTGTTATCAAATAGTCCGTTTCTATGTATGTTGGCGTTTGTTTTTGTTGCATTTCAGTGTTTATGTTCCGTTGTTTTCCTCTTATAATTGATGTGTTTTCCTCGGTTTTAGTTTGTAACCCAGATTTGTTTCCTTTCAATCGATTTATGACTTTTGAACAGCGGTATACTACTGTTGCCTTTAACCAACCCCTCCCCCCCCCCCCCCCCCCCCACCCTTCTTTATGTGCCTGTCCTAAGTCAAGAACCTGTAGTTCAGTGGTTGTCGTTGGATCATGTCTGTCATATTTGTTTTTCGTAAATTGTTTTGTTACAAATTAAGCCATTAGTTTTCTCCATTGAATTGTTTCATATTTTTCATGTCAGGTCCTTTTTCAGCCGACTATAAGGTATGTGTTTTTCTAATTGTTGAAGGTCAAACGGTTGCCTAATTGCTTACATCCACTTCTTTTAAATTAAGTTGATAGTTGTCTCATTGGCATCTCCTTATTTTCTAATTTTTGGTATGTCAATGATACTTGTGGAAATATAATATATTACTAATGAAATGCTTATAGCTAAACGTTTGGTTGTTTTTCCCGCATTTAAAGGGTTAATGTTCTACGGTTTACTTCGTGTCGTCTTTTGATCAAACGAAGTCAAGTAACATTTTATGCTAATAGCTGCGAATTTGAGGGGAAAGGGATTGACAGAAAAGGCAACTCGTACCATCATGTATGTAAATATGGAATAGAGATATGCAAATGCTGTCAATAGGCCCGAGAACACATGTATATCGTAGTGCATTTCTTTAAGAAAATAAATGAAAATTAAAAAAAATCCCAACTGCGCTTTCTCAATGATATTTTTACAGTGTGGTGTACTACTTTTGGGACAAATTATATCAAAATTACAGAAAATTTCATCAGCTCTATCTCAATATATCGACAATTTTATTTAAAGAGGGTCTTGAATTCTTTTGACAGCCTCAAACATACTACTGTATATCGGGTTTTTTTTTCGCGTCGGCTTTTTGTCGCGATTTGATGACAAAATGGGCAGGTTAAATTTTCACTGTGTATAATTTTCGCAGAATGGGAAAATACACGCGAAAAAATAACTGTATAGTATTGTTAACAAAATAAACTTGATTGAAAAAGAGGGACGAAAGATACCAGAGGGACAGTCAAACTCATAGATCGAAAACAAACTGACAACGCCATGGCCAAAAATAAAAAGACAAACAGACAAATAAAAGTACAGATGACAGAACATAGAAAACTACAGACTAAGCAACACGAACCCCACCAAAAACTGGGGTGATCTCAGGTGCTCCGGAAGAGTAAGCAGATCCTGCTCCACATGTGGCACTGACAGGTAATCGATTGCAAATAAATATGAGTACTACAAACGAAAATACACATAATTCAGTGAACTTTCAAGGAACATAAAATAATTAAAGACATTGCTACAAATTGAAGGTTTTGATCATTACAGATAAACAAATGTCCGTGTAAATGTGATTTATTTTGATTTTAATTTTACATCAGATCCAAATGTTCGTGTTATGACACCAATCAATAGATCGTCGCTAATTAACATTTTTTAACCTGCCACTGATTGCTGTGTTGTCAAAAGGTGTTCTATGTATGTGTAAATTAAAAAATGAAACTTTTGAACAATGATAAATCTGGGAATACGCAGTATAATTTACGCGGGATCAAATTTTCGCGTTTCTTTAGCTGCCGCGAACAAAGCGAAAATTAGACACACGCGAAAAATACCCGATATACGATAATTTTAACCTTTTACAGCTAGACCAAATCACTACTTCACTTTAAAATTAATGACCCAATTTTTTTACAGTTTAATTTCATCCCCCTACTTGCCATTTGAGGCATAAAACATGAAGAAATGAATTTGGAAAGGGTATGAAAAAAAATGCAACTTAAACAATGTCCACAGAAGGGACTATATGTGTAGACAACGAAAATCATAGGTCGATAACTGAGTTCCCGAACCAATATAACTGTCTGCTTTATATATGCACTTATGGAAAACGTTCAAAGAATCATTTACGTTTAAAATATATTCATATACATGTATGTTAAATCTTAACAGTTAATTACAAATCTTATATTTGTTTGAAATATAAGTTTTGAGTGCACATTAGAACGTACCAAGCCTTATTTAACCTGTTCCTTTTGCCTTCGTTTCTTTTACGATGATTTAGATTTAGAGCAAACGCATAAGGACATTACAGCCTGCTCGGCCATTAAAACTGACTACTTGGACGTATAGCAGGACTATTATTAAAACCCCCATTATTTAATACATCTTTTAACTAACTAAACAGAGATAATACTTATTAAGCAACAAGGATGCGAGTGCTCTTGGATCTGTATTTTGTGTCTTTTTCTTTATGTTAATTGTATTTGTGCTTCGTATACTGGTCTATTGATTTCAGCCGTTTTCAACTGTTTTGGCAGTTTGCTATTGAACTCTGTTTTTACCACTGCTCAAGGTTGGGGGGAAGATTGAGCACACACAAAAATATTCAACCCCGCAACATACATGTATTGTATGTGCATGTCTCAGGTAGGGAGCCCGAGGTTCAGTAGTTGTTGTTGTTTCAAGTCTGCCCTATTTAGTGTTCGTTGATCAGTATGTTATCAATTATGATGTTGGTATTTTGTTTGAATTGTTTCATATTTTTCTTGTCAGGTCTTCTATAGCATACTATACGGTATTAGTTTTGCTTATTGTAGAAGGTCATACGGTAATCTTTAGTTAATTATCATCGTCATATGGACTCAGTCTGGTTGGAATACAAATCCTGTGTCCACGCTTAGATTACAAGGATCTGACAACGCTCCTTTCTTCTATGTGATTCAAACACCTTTTGGATATTGTCTAAATGATACACAACTTCCCAACTTTGGAAGCTGAAAGGTAAATGGCTGAAGTTATAATTACCAGAACATTAAAAAGAACAGGCTGTTATCAGATCCAGAAATATTTTAAACAGATTGATTTAGACTTTGGTGAATAGTTATCTCATTGAAAATCTTACTAAATCTCATTATTTTCATATAAACAGATCTAGAGGAATTGTCTTATCAACTAAGTACTTTAAAACAATGCCTTTTACACCCAACAGAGCAATATAACGAGGTCATTATTGACAAACCATTCCTTATGAAGTTGGTTTAAAACAATTTAATATCAAAATACCTTTCATACCAAAAGAACTACAATTCAGACATTATTAACATAAAAGATATTTGTGATGTTAAATTTCTTTGATCTATGATTATTTACTCAAGAAGTTCTACTCTTGAAAGAAGTCAGCCATCTTTAGTTTGTTTCTTTTCATAATGACTGGGTTATCCATAATGGCATACTAATCTGTAACAATGCTCAGTTGGCTATACTTGGCATTGTTTCGATTGTAGTTAAAACTTGGCGTCTAAGCAATAGATAAATTAATCAGTTGGCTAATAAATGATTTCAACAAACTATTTTACAATGTTTATATTATTTTTTTTTATATTATAGTCCATTTGAAACAATTACAAGAACTTCAGGCTAATGTAAAACAGTTGGAAAATAAACAATATCAACACGCAGATCGAACTAAAATAATAGAGACTACAATGGAAGAACATAAACATTACGAGAAGACAATTACAAAACAGTTACAAAATAAATTAGAAGAAATACAAACACATCAAACTGAACTTGGCAAAGCAGAGACAGATGACAAAAAAGCATTAGAAAGAAAATTCGAAGAAATCCAGAATTCCTTGAAAAGAGAAGAAGCAAAATTAGTTGAAAGATCGAGAGAATTGAACCACCAAAGAAATACCAGTTTAAAACCTATTGAAACCCAGCTGAAGTTACTAGAAGAGAAATGCGACAGTCTAGAACAAATGAAAGACGAAGTTTATACGATTTCAGTGAAGGTACAGCACATAGTTTGAAGAACTAATAATACATTTTCTTTTGGGTTTCTCATTATTAATATTTTTCAAAACACATTGACGCACCTTATCCTTAAACTAACTTTCAAGTAAAAACATTAACGATACCAATGTTGATGCACCAGATGTACATTTTGACAATAAACCACGAGCTGATACAATTTTTTAACAAAAATGAATACCCAAAGCAGGGCAAGGAATCAGAGTTTGTATAAATGAGATATATTCCTTAATTTAAAGGTTTTATATGTAGCACTAGTAAACGAATTTCAATCCTAAATAGTCATTTTGATATTAAAATCATCTGAAAAGTCTGAACAATAATTATTCAGTCTTTTTTCAAATTTTAGACCTATCCTTTGCGGTTTATTCGATTAGAGTACAGATAATTCGCTTGCAGTCAATTACATGCTTTTAAACAATTCACAATGTTGTTGGTGTGTACAGGCTAATAAAAACTACTTAACAGTCTAACAAAGACTGAACAGATCTTAATTGACTGCAAGTGAATTGACTTAACAGTACATAATTTACCACAGTTTATACGACTGCAAATTGACGGAAAGACTTAAAACTACTTAGTAATTTTTTGTTGAGTCTTTAAAGAGCTGTTCAGATCAAAATTTGTTTACTAGTGAGTATAATAAAATCACAATTTTGATATTGGACAAATATTAAGTGTTTATGTTTTTAATAGTTGGTTGATATTGCTTTGTCCCATGGTTTTCTGTATCTGTGCTATCTGTGCTATTATTGTAACTAACCTTAGTCGTTTTATGGAGGCACACATTGTCTTGCATCTTCCAAGGGTAAGGGTAAACATATTAAGATTTAGTTCTTATCTCCAGACATCCTTGAAATTTCATGTATATTTCGTTCTGAAAAACCACGTTCATCTGTCACATGATTGATATTTGCCAGTTGGACTCGAATGTTTCTATAAAATGGAACATACATCTGATGAAACAAAACCTTTGTTGTACGTGTTTAAAATGGTCTCTACACGAAATATGAATGGATGAATTATAATGATGAAGTAAACAGTCTAACAAAAACAATAACACAAAAAACACAAAAAACACAAAATGACAAAAGATATCTAAATGGAACATACAGTCTCCAACAAAGGCTGCACTTTATTAATTTTGAAAATTAGACTTTGTTTATAATCAACTCGACAGTGCAAAAAATGCTCCCATATGAATTGCAACACCTTTAAAATGGCAAACGAACTACCTTAGTATTTCACAGGATCATTATCATGCAAACGTCTCACAGAGTCGACAGTATTTAATAAGAATCCTCATGTCCGTCTGTCTGTCCTTTCGTTTGTCCGTCTTGCACACATTTGGTTTCCAGATGATAAGAAGGAAACCGCTTATTGATATTAATTTAACTTTTAAATGAACGTTTGTGACCACTAAAGGAAGATTCAGTTCGAGTTTAATATTCATGTAATTGTTTCATTTGTTTTAGATTGACAGGCTAACAGAAGAAATTGAACAAATAAACAAAAGGATGGAATCAAGTTCTCATGAAGAAAGTCAAGTTGAAGGTACAGATTTACTTCCTAGCATGATAACGCATCAGATAAACATCCTAAAAAATGATAGACTGATATGCCTACAGTAAGAATGAATTGCATTAATACATAAATGCATAGAAATGAGTGATGTAGATTGTATTACTTGTCTAAAAAATTGGAAAGTACAGTCGTCTGTAACATTTGTCTTTAATGCAGATATATATTTCAAATACAGACATGCACCTATAAGTCATTAGATCATCACTGTTGTGATACAACGTATTTGATTTCCCGTCTCTTCATATGTATCAAAATGGCTTAGAACAAACGTTGGAAATTAAATGCTTATTGTATAAGGTGGTTCATGTTCATAAGCCGCATGAATTTGGATGTCGTCGGTAAGCCGCTGACCGATGAAAATTGGTCTCGTTATCTTATTTAAGCACTGTTCGAAAAAGGGTTGTGAAAAAAGCATTTCCCATCATGTATCTTTATATTGAACACAAACATTGAAAGTCTAAAACAAGAGAATACAAATTCGAATAAACGAAAATATAAGGGCTTAGCTAACTTTGAGGTATAATTCTTAAAGACAAAATTTATGAGGGTTTGAATTTATATTTATTTACTACGGATTAGTCTGTCAATGTTGATGTGTTTCCCTAAATGAAGTTCCTCTTGAAAATTTGTTATAAACAATACGATAATACCTGTTTCTGTTGGAACAAATGTGCGAACCCATTTATTCCGTAATGAACAAATACTTTTATATTTTTATTTTTTGGAAATAATAATATTCCAGAATGATTCTACCATATGGAACTAATGTTACAAAGGAAGTTATATCCAATGTCAGGCCCTTTACCCCTAATATATTACAACGAATTAAAGCAAGGGATAACATATTGGTATAAGTGGCCAACCTGTGTTTAAAAGCGATGTAAATTCTAACCCTCATGAATTATTTATATTCTAATGAGACTATTAAGGTATTTTTCGTATCACATAATCTGTTTATATGCTTCCTTGTTTGTTTTATAATGCCTACAACATGAAAAAAAATTAGACCAACCAGCACAAATTATGAGATTGTCTATCAACTGACATGCAATATATTCATATTTTACCACATGTATGGACCCTCAGCGTTTAAAGGAAGGCATATGAGATTTAAGGATATAAATTATTCGTAGAACAATAGAGAAACAAACCTAGTCTAAAAATCAAATCCTATTTAATTTACTTACAGTTAAAGAAGAATCGATTTGCAAAGGTTTACGAGGCAACTACCAGACCAGTAACCAATCTAGTATTTCGAGTATGTACAATATCATCTGTTTCTTTTTATTTGTGTTGATTATTGATAATTTTTTCAATATTTTTTGTAAACATTTATTTTTTCAAAAACAATTTCAGTTTTCTCACTTTTATTGGCAATACACGAAAATATCATCTCTTTAAATTTACTTGGTCATATAAATCTGAAAGAATTAAGCATGGCATTTACAAATGAACGATTATAAATTATATGCTTTTAAAAACTATAACAAATGTTATGTACAATTATAGATACATGTATCTGGTTTTTTTTTAATATAAAATCCCAAGTCAGTTTATCTATAAAATACAACAATAAAAAAAAAAACAAAAAAAATGTCGCAAAAAAATGAAAGGGACTTTCTTTTTATAGGTATTTACTCAGTTATTATCAATAAAATGATGATACCATTTAGACCTCAAATTACAAAAGGGAGTACACAATTATTCTGAATCCACCATATGTTTATACAAACACTTGTCATGTTTGTTGTTACCATATCAATATAAGGAATACACGTATTAAATGCCCCTGTTGTTTCAGTAGATATAATTTTTCTACACGCATGTAGAATTGTAAACAATACTATGAGTGTAATTCATTCACTTTGGTTTTTGTTTCTACAAAGGCATGTATATTCAAGTAAAAGAAAAAAAAAACGCATTTGGTACTAGTCTTCAGAGGCCTAGATGTAATCTGTATCGACTTTTTTTTCAATAAGATCTCCATTATTCTTCGCTGTACTTGTAAGTGGAAATTAATTAAACAAGATTTTAACCGTTGTCAGTTTGTCTTCTAATTATGAGTTTGCATATCCTTTTGTATCTTCGCCTCTCTCTAGAACTAGTTTGGTGCTTTATCATGATCATAAAATTGAGAATGGAAATGGGGAATGTCAAAGAGACAACAACCCGACCATAGATCAGACAACAGCCGAAGGCCACCAATGGGTCTTCAATGCAGCGAGAAACTCCCGCACTCGGAGGCGTCCTTCAGCTGGCCCCTAAACAAATATGTATACTAATTCAGTGATAATGGACGTCAAACTTAACTCCAAATTATACACAAGAAACTAAAATTAAAAATGATACAAGACTAACAAAGGCCAGAGGCTCCTGACTTGGGACAGGTGCAAACATGCGGCGGGGTTAAACATGTTTTTTGAGATCTCAACCCTCCCCCTATACCTCTAGCCAATGTAGAAAAAACAAACGTACAACAGTACGCACAGTAATACTCAGTTCAAGAGAAGTCCGAGTCCGATGTCAGAATAGGAAACAAAAGAAAATAACCAAATGACAATAATACATAAATAACAACAGACTACTAGCAGTTACTGACATGCCAGCTCCAGACCTCAATTAAACTGATTGAAAGATAATGTCTTCATCATATGAATATCATGCACAATCCCTCCTGTTAGGGGTTTAGTATTATACCGTCATAAAATATATGAGAAAAACATAACCCGTGCCATGCCAACAACTGGTTTTAGAATAAATATGTTTAATTCCGATGCAAAGACCCTATAAGTGAATCAATATTAAAGCCAAAATATGCAATTTTTAATGATTATATCATGTTTATATAATGTCAAACACTCCTCGTTTTCATTCGAGATATATTACAATATGAGTGTACATCATATGAGTGTTTGGGGGCGGCGCATGTAACTCGATTTTCTATGCTCTCTGAAGCACACAACATAACTTATTTGGTGCTTGATCATGCTTATATGCAACCATGTTATCGAATAACTCTTTGTTATTCTTTGTTGATGCACAAGCTGTTAATGTGTTTATTTCTTCTTCTTCGATATAATTTACAAAAATGAATTGAAGTACAGCTCTAATACTCATTTTTTTTTCAACTGGATAGTAGGTCTGTAATTGTTTGGGTTTTGCAGATATCTGTACAAGCTTTAATTACAATGATCCTGACAATTAGATATATGCCGAACAAGTGCTGAAATATTTTCGGCTATGGATTGTGGGTCATTTTGTACAATTTGTTGAAAGTTATAATCTTGTACGACCCATATCCATGATATTACTCAATTATTCTATTTCATGGTATATTTTGATGCGTATTCTCGCTATGGTGTTCGTATCGTTATCCATGATGACGTTTAATACAGTACAGTTTTTCTCTCCAATAGTCTACAATAACCTGACCTGAACACCTGTTTCCATGGTTTTGGAGGTGCCATATCGGTTTCTAGTACAGGTAGTACAAGTGTGTGGTGGTTATTCTTTCTTTTCCTTTTCCTTCAAAATAGGAGCAAATTATTTCTTTTCCTTTTCCTTCAAAATAGAAGCAAATTATTCAATGTTTTTTTAATATTGGTCTCTACGATTAGTTTATTGACGTCCAAAATAAAGCAAATCCCATGCCAACCATACACCATACTCCATATTTTGAGTTGCGTTTTCGCCTACTTACCCTCTTCTGCTATGTCAATGGGCATCCACCCATGTCGTACTTAATGGACACTGGTACATTATATCCAATATTTTATACACTGAAAAATAAATATTTTTTCAATTGTCAAATGCAGCTATGATATATTCGGCTTGGTTATATCGAAAACTTCAAAGGGAGAATTTATTACTTCTCCGTCACACATACAGCGTTAAGGAATACGAGCAATGCAGACTGGACGGCCTGGAGTGGCAATAATTCGTTCGAAAAGGTTGACATGCGTCATGCGGACTGTGATATAGCAAGTTAACAATCCGAGAAGCTTGTCGTATTTTCAGCTGTTTAATCTTACACAATGTTTTGTAAGGTAAACAGAAGGATGTTAAAAGAGAGGCAGAAGATACATAAGGATATTGTAATTCATAAGTCGAAAACGAACTGACAATAACATGGCAAAAACGAAAAACGAACAAACAGTCTACAACACACTAAATATAGAACTAAAGACTGAGCAACACGAACCCCACCAACAGTTCGGGGTATTGTCAGGTGCTCCAGAAAAAAAAAGAAGATCATGATCCACATGTGAAACCCATCCTGTAACTCCTGTATATAACGTTGATAAGTTAAATCAAGTTATTATGCATCATCAATAGCGGATTGGTAATTGACTCTGATCTTACCCTAAAACTAGAACAATTTCGTAAACCATCGGCCATCTAAATTTTCTAACCCTAAAACTTGGCCGACTGTGAAATATTAGATTAAACCATTTTATGACAAAGGATAGGCAAGACTGCTACCGGTATAAACAACACGGACATGGAAAAAAATAAAAAGCAAGAAGAAAACACTAAACCTAATGCAAGAGGAACACGAACCCCTGTTAAACACAATAAGGGGTGATCTGAGATGCGCCGGATGAGTAAGCAGATAATGTTCCACATGTTGCACCCGTCGTGTTGATCATGTGAGTGCAATGACCTCTCATTCGAGAAAAAGAGGATGGGATTGTGGCTACGCCACTTAGAACATATCAGTCGTTATTTGTGAAACACATATTCCATAACGACTTATAATATAATATCTTATATTGCTTGGAACTTATCGAGGTATTACTACTTTCTAGTTAATTTTTTTATGATAACAGTGTCATTTGCTATTTTAGATATGAACGCATCATCCAGCCATACTTGTTTTTTTTTTATGTCAGATGAAGACAGAGAACTAAAGCTTAAAATGTTAATTTGTGGAATACTGTATCAAAACTGATACTCCCACATACTATTTTGAATTATTTTAACACGTAATATTCATATTTTTTTCTGTTATAGGTCAACATGATCTAGAAGAAGACAGACCTATAGGTATACATGGCTCACATTTAATATCAACTTTTTAAAACGATCTATTCTTGCTAATAATAATAATAATAATAATATTAATAATGATAAGTATAAATAGCCAGGTACATATAACATTTAATGGAAACAAATGGTCCACATACGACCAAATCAATGCGGTGTTGTACAAATCAACCAACAAACATGGATTTAACGTTAATCATATTTTATGAAGAATACAAGCTTGTAGTGTCAAGCTGTCGTTAATAAACTTTGCATATTAATGAGATACTATTGCAAGAAAAACTTCATATGAAAGTAGACAATGCAATCAAATGACATAATTTATGTTAAAGACAGGATGGTTCCAAGAATGGTAAAATAGAAATCGCTCTATGTTTTTGGTGTTAGTTCGATTTTCTCAGTTTTAGGTTTTCTGTGTTGTGTTTTTGTAGACTGTCGTCATTTTTTGTTTTTTTTTCCTTGTCGGTGCCAGTTTGTCTTCAACTTATTAGTTTTAACATCCATTTGATATCTTTCGCCTCCATTTTCTAATGGAATTTGGCGGACAATATTGCATATATTTCTTAATGTAAACTGTTTTATGTTTTATGTTTTTCACCAATTCAATTGATGATGTTCCTTTTATCGCGGTTATGTTTCTTTTGTCCATTCTAACGACGTGTATATATTTCCCAAACTCGTACTTTATATCCGCGTCTTTAGTAACAGCCTGGATTATTTCAGTGTGAAAGGCATTTACTTTATTGTCAGTGACATGGCATATCTAGGTTTTGATGTTACTGAATGTATTAACATACATGCATAGGACCGTGTTGATGAATAAGGTTAGTAAAAGAGATTTTCCTGGAATAATATTTTGGTTTAATTTATCCTTTAAAACTTTGTTTGGGCCTTATCAAGATATTAAAAGTTTATTTTTGGTTATAACAATGCTATTTTAAATACATCATAATAATGGATGAACAAACAGACAAATATGAAGGGAACATAGTTGGATTAGAATGAGCTCAAATGCACAGTCGACAAAGTAAATATCTTCTGTCATGCATGTTTTGTCATATCCGGCTGGGACAGAAAGCTGTACCTTAAGTTTTTTATCTTTGGATTACTGCCTAAAAACAATAGTTCGACATACTTTCTTTATATCATTTTAACACGTAATATTCATAATATTTTTTGTAATCTATTTTATAGGTCAACATGATGTGGAGGAAGACAGATCTATAGGTATAAATGGCTCACATCAAATATACTACATTGCAAATGTCCCAAATCGTTCACTATACCCATGTCTGTAGTTTCAATCTGGATTTTAATGACTGAAAAAATTGCAAAGATAACTGGTCAGTTATTTAGTCAGGGATTGTTTTGTTTAGTAGTTCGTTGGAGTATATGGATGTAAATGGAGACATCTTATAACCAATAGATTTTATTTTTACAATAATGTTGTTTATCCTGTCGTAGTCTACCCATGACCTCTGTACACTAAATTCGTTAGCGGTGTACTGATTTATATTGTAGTCAGTGATAGCATGGTCTATTAATTAATTTGTTAGAATTGCGTTTTGAACTACTAGTAGCTTTGTGTAACACTGAGTACACTACACTTTGGAATGGTACTTTCAGTTTTTGCTAATTTGAAATGTTGAACAATTTCTATCCAGGGGCATTTAACTGCTTATTGTACGTCAGAGGCGGATTTAGGGGGCACAGGAGGCCTTAGCCCCATCCCCCTTTTGTGGGAAAAATTTGGTTGATTATTTAGGGAATCACTGAAGCATGACTGGAGCGAGCCCCCTCTTATGCAGTCAGTAGGCCCCCTTATGAAAATTTCTGGATCCGCCACTGTATCTTATGGGTTTTGCTCATGTTTCAGACCTTTAAATGTTTAAGATTGTCTTTTTTTTATTTTTGTGGATAGTTGTCCCACTGACAATCATACTACAGCTTAATTTTGTAAATATGTAGTGTGTTACACATTCCCACTAGACAGAAAACAAAGATGATTATATACAATTATTGACTTTGATGAGGTTGATACAAACATATTTAACAATCCCAGATATATGATATTCACGGCGACCTACGACCGAGGTTGATTGTCATATATCTTGGGTTAATAAACATTGAGTCAACTAATACCAAAGGTCAACAATTGTTTTATTACATATCTTTTTTTATCCACCTCCAAATTTCTAATACTTGCTCCAAGGCACAGTTAAGAGAATTTCTATATGGTATCCCTTTTATTTTTTGAACCAACCTTCAACGGTGTTTTTAATTTGTTTTACCAAGTTTATCGTGTTATCTTTATGTTCGTTCGTTTTTGATTTATTATAATATATTGTATATATCTAAATACTATATCATAAGTACGTGTGAAATTAAACCATCTACTTAATTTGAAATTAAAGAGGCTTACGATCTGATGAACGATCTGAGAATACTACTGAGATTTTTGATGACCTGTCGTATCTATAATCTGTCCATGATAGAACAAATTAATTAAATCGTTGCAGATATCTTTCGCCCAGACATTTTGATACTACATGCAAATAAAGATCAGAATGAAGCAAATGAGTGTAAAACATTCTTAAGGAATAATTTTCCCGATATATCCAATCTACAAGTTGCACTACCAGAAGATTTGTTAGCACCCGGAAGTCAACGTCTGCCCTCTAACCTCTCTTAGACTCATGTAGACTAGTTTTCATCTTTCTAACTAAAAATCTCGAATCGGATGCAGTTGCAGAATTTGGGAAACAAATTACTCTCATACAGTCGTTGGAAGATCCACAGAAAGCAAAAAGAATCATTCCATTACAAGTGAATGAAGGACCAATATCAGTAGAGTTATCGCCACTCGTATCTTTAAGTTATGTCAAAGACACAACTGATCCTGAGTTTCCCTCTTTCAAACGGAAGTTAGAAAAATTAGTAAATTCTTGGAGGAAAGCCTTGCCATGAGATCTAAAGAACTGAAAATTAACAAATTAAAAAACAAAAACAAAAAAAAACGAACAAAAAAGTGCGTGTCAGAAGTGTTTTTGCAAGTTATTTTTGGTAATTTCTATCGATATGATGTGTCACTCTCTTTTCAAATGGATTTTATAGTTTTTTTTCTTATGTGGTGCTGTAACATTACTATCCCAGGTAAAGAGGCGCCGGCACACATGTATATCCCCACTATTCTGTATGTATCTGTCATTTGTCAGCAGCCTGTAACTCAGCGGTTGTGTTTTGTTGCTCTATATTATATTTGTGTTTCGTTTATTCTTTTGTACATTCATCAGGCATTTGATTTTTTTTGTATTACATTTTTGTCATGCTGCTTGCTATGCGGTATGAGTTTTGCTCTTTGTTGAAGGTCGTACGTTGACCTGTAGTTGCTAACATCGATCTAGGTCATTTGGTCTCAGATGGATAGATACCTCAATTTAAAACATACCACATCCCCTTAGTTTGTATTAATTCGCTAAAAGATAACAGTGGATGCAATTAGATGCTTCGATAAGGCAATCAGATCTTACACCGCTAGTAGTCTCAATCGTGAGATTGGTGTAACCTTTTGCAAAATAACATTTTGAATAACTTTCTACCTGCAGGTCATTTGATACTTGAAATAATTTATAAGCACTTAACTTTAAAGACCATGCTGTCTAAATATAGTTTTCGTATTGAAATGTGTGTTTAGGGAACTTTAAAAGGACGGTAAAAAAAAAATCTACTAAGGATTTTATGTGTATACTTAGTCGTCTATAGAGCAAATATCAGAGTTATGTACTTCCTTTTGCAATGTCTACTTAATTTTGTCGAGGTTTGAAATATGACAACTATGATGTAAATTATCATTTAAAAGTAAAAGAGTTGGGGAATAAAGTTTGTACTTATTATAGGAGAACACGTTAGAAGAGCGTTTGAAACAATTTTAGAAATGTGCATAAAAGACCCATTGGTGGCCTTCGGCTGTTTTCTGCTCTTTGGTCGAGTTGTTGTCCCTTTGACACATTCCCCATTTTAATTCTCAATTTCATAAAAATACATTTTTTCATAAAATTCTTGCTTTTGTTTTGCATTTTTGTCATATATATAATAGTGTTTTTTTTTGTGCATTTAACCATAAGCACCAATGATCTTAATAATAAAACGGTTATCAATAAGTTTGATATAAGGATAGTTTTGGTGCAAAATGTGAAATGAAATAAAAAATCATTTTCATAAGGAGCACTCAAATACAAAGCCAGGCATGTATAAATCCCTGATTAACCATATAACCAAAGTGGAAACGAATATATGTCTGAGGGAAACGCTAAGAATCTTATTTTGCTCTTTATTTTCTAACGTATTTTTATTGAGAAATCTATATTATAAATCATGTCAGTTCCGAAGCACTTTAACAGTTCACAAGCAGTGGTATCGACTCCGAGCTAGAACATGAAAATAACACTTTATAATTCACTTCTATAGATTTCCTTGATCAGGAACGCTTAAATCGAAAAAAAAAAAATGAAAGGCATGGCTGTCTGAATACTTGTCGAGCTATATGACCAAGTGGAATAGTCAAAACCCATCTAAGGTCAACTTCGACTAAGGGAGTTGGAACTATCGTTAATCAAACATTTTTAATTCATTAACAGGAATTTTTGGAATTTTATGTTATACATGTAAATTCATATCAGTGCCGGAGCGCTGACTACTAAGCTGATGATATCGTTGGTAACTTGCAGGGTACCAGTAACGGTATCTACCTAGTGCTAGAAAATGAAAATATCTACTGTGTCAGATGCGCATATATAGATGTACCTTCATCAGTAACACTCATATACAAACATTGGAAAGCCAGGGATGTATAAGTACTTGACGAGCTATATAATTAAAAGGGACACCAAAAGAATAGCCAAGACCATCTACGATCAACTATGTCTGATAAAGTTGGATTCTAAGTTTCTAATAATCTCTTTTTTTATTAAGATATTTTTTTAAACTATGATAGTATATTATTGATCGAGTCAGTACGGATGCACTGACTACTGGGCTGACAATACACCCGTAGGTAAAAATCCACCGGCAGCGGTGTCGACCAATTGCTCTTAGGTAGCAATATACAGTCAGGAAAAAAATAAAAGTTTACCCTGATAAAAAAAAAAGTAAAATCACAAAAATACTGAACTCCGAGGAAAATTCAAAAAGGGAAAGTCCCCAATCAAATGGCAAAATAAAAAAAAACCAAAAACATCAAACGAATGGATAACAACTGTGATAAATTTTACCTCTCCCTTTTTCCTTGCTTTCTTACAAATTAAGCCTACTGTTTGTGTCATATATGTACATATGTATGTAATCAGTACCTTCCAAAAATTTGATTTCCAGTAGTTAAAATGGTAAAATAAAATTTCTTTTTGGTGTATCCATGGCAACAATCTGTTTTAATGTAGTAGGTTGTTTTCTATGGCTGTGAATAACAACTAACGAATAGGATGTAGGGTTCTGATGTTTTATTACCAGTAGATAAAACAAGTCTGAAATAGCAATACAACATATATAAATAACAAGCTATTTCATATAACATAACTACTTTTACGAAATATCACAGTTTATGTAATACAGAAATATAATAATAAATAATACATTTATCTGTTATTAAATAAGTAGCAAGTAAAATGTTTTACAAGTAGAAGATGTTCAATGTTTACAGTCAGTGAAATTGACGTCGGTGTCACGTGTACTTTAACAACAAGATTCACTTTTATTTACACTGTATAGTGCAATGTGATGTACGATAAATACGTGTATCTGTGTATATGTAATCACTACTGGTTTACCTTACAAACGGTATATAATAAATGTTATATCTACATTTATTAATAATAACTTCATTAAAATATATAATACGTATAATAATTAACTACATAATATCATACAACAATCATAAAGTTGCAAATATAATAATCATAAAGACTTATGATGTCAATATTATTGATTCGTTAAAAGCTCCAAATAAAGGGGAGGTAACTCATGTTTACAATACAATATAAACAATGCCAAACTATAAATAAATATACTCTTACCACTTATGGAGTGAGTTGAACTAGTAAGGTTAACGGCACATCAAATAAACATCACACAATCATGTGTCTATATAATTACACATTACATGGAGTCCTGAAACCAAAATACGAACATAAATACTCGGACTCTAATTATAGAAATATACAATGTGACAAATA